TTATTCTATTTAGTTTATTCTATTAATATTATATTATATTTAGTATATTTAAGTATACAAATTATTCCATTTAGTATACTATATTAAGTATATCATTTGTATTCTATTCTATTCTATTCTATTTAGTTATATTATATTAAAGTATATACATTATTATATTTTGTATATTATATATTTAGAATAGTATATTAAAGAATGTAAATTATTTAGAATATTCTATTATATTTAGTATATTAAAGTATGGAAATTATTATATGTGGTATATTTCAAATATTATATTCACATATTATTGTATTGTATTAAATATATGTATTGTACTAAATTAATTATATTATTGTATTATATTTGTATATTATATTTATATTATATTAAATATATTTATTATACTATGATAGTATAATAGTCACCTTTGTGCTGAGAAAGTATAATAGTAAAATAATATTAATATAAATTATATTAACATGCATTATAAATAATAATAATAATAATTATAAATTATAACTGATATTAATAAATTATAAATTATATTAATATAAATTATATAATTATACATATTTATGGAGCCCCCAGTGGCACAATGGGTTTCTTTTTCTTTGGTTGTGTCAGGAGCAACTTGAGAAACTGCAAGTTGCTTCTGGTGTGAGAGAATTGGCTGTCTGCAAGGACGTTGCCCATGGACGCCCGGATGATTTATGTTTTTATCATCCTTGTGGGAGGCTTCTCTCATGTCCCCGCATGAGGAGCTGGAGCTGATAGAGGGAGCTCATCCGCCTCTCCCCAGATTCAAACCTGCGACCTGTCGGTCTTCAGTCCTGCCGGCACAGGGGTTTAACCCACTGCGCCACCGGGGGCTAAATTATATTAATATTATAATTAATATAATATATTAATAATTAATATAATATATTAATATTATATAATTTATACATATTTATGGAGCCCCCAGTGGCAGAGTGGGTTAAACTGCTGAGCTGCTGAGCTTGTTGACCAAAAGGTCGCAGGTTGGAATCTGGGGAGTGGCATGAGTTTCTGCTGTCAGCCCCAGCTTCTGCCAACCGAGCAGTTCAAAAACATGCAAATGTGAGTAGATCAATGGTACTGCTCCACCGGGAAGGTAACGGCACTCCATACACTCATGCTGGCCACATGACCTTGGCGGTGTCTACAGACAACTCCAGCTCTTCGGCTTAGAAATGGAGATGAGCACCAATCCCCAGAGTCAGACATGACTGGACTTAATGTCAGGGAAAAACCTTTACTTTTAACCTTATATGTATTTATACTATATTATATAAATTAAATTATATATTAAATTATTTTTATTATATTAAATTATATAATAAAATATTATTATTATATTATATCATATATTTATATAATATAGTACAAATATATGCTATAATTATATAATATAATATAATAATAATAATAATTATAACTTTATTTGTACCCCGCTAGCATCTCCCGAAGGATTCGATGCGGCTCACAATAGGCCGAAGCCCAACACAATACAACAATACAATATCTAGCAAATAAAAACAGTTAAGCAGAAAAACAATAACAATGGCAATATGACAAGACATTATTAAAAACTGAGTCGGCCGGAGTAGGAGTACAAGGTTAAAAGTGCTGATGTGTCGGAGGAGTATGGGATTATGATATAAGTGCGGTGTGCAGTGTGCGGTGATTTGGCACTAAAGTGCTTCTGGGATTTGGTAGTGGGAGATTTCTAATCTGAAAAGGCACATTGGAACAGCCAGGTTTTCAAATTCTTTCTGAAGACTGCCAGTGTAGGGGCTTGTCTGAGATCTTTCGGGAGGGCGTTCCAGAGGCGGGGGGCCACCACGGAGAAGGCCCTGTCTCGCGTCCCCACCAAGCGCGCTTGCGACGCGGGGGATCACGAGCAGGGTCTCTCCAGATGACCGGAGTGAACGTGTGGGTTCGTAGACAGCGATGCGGTCACGCAGGTAGGGTGGTCCCAAACCGTTCAGGGCTTTGTAGGTAAGCACCTGCACCTTAAATTGGGCTCGGAAAATAAACGGCAGCCAGTGGAGCTCCTTAAACAGGAGGGTTGACCTCTCTCTGTAATGGGCCCCAGTTAACATCCTGGCTGCTGCCCGTTGGACCAACTGGAATTTCCGAGCCGTTTTCAAGGGCAGCCCCACGTAGAGCGCATTGCAGTAATCCAGTCTAGAGGTGACTAAGGCATGGACCACCCCGGCCAGATCAGCCTTAGCGAGGTACGGACGTAGCTGGCGCACAAGTCTCAGTTGTGCAAAAGCCCTCCCGGTCACCGCCGAAGCCTGAGCCTCAAGCGTGAGCGATGAATCCAGGAGGACTCCCAAGCTACGGACCTGTGACTTCAGGGGGAGTGTAACCCCGTCCAGCACAGGTTGCCACCCTATACCCCGATCTGGTTTACGATCGACCAGGAGGACCTCTGTCTTGTCGGGATTAATCTTCAGCTTGTTCGTCCTCATCCAGATAGACACAGCGGCCAGGCACTCGTCTAGCACCCGAGAGGCCTCCTTGGAGTTGGGTGGAAAAGAGTAGTAGAGTTGTGTGTCATCTGCATAGAGATGGCACCCAACTCCAAAACTCCGGATGACCTCTCCCAGCAGTTTCATGTAGATGTTAAAGAGCAATTAATACAATTTAATATAAAATATAATATTAATATAATTTATATAATTATATTAATCACATTATATTATGAAATTGTATTAATTATATTAAATTAAAACAATACTATGATTATATTCTATCTATTTGCCGCTTTCTCTCTCTCTCCATATTTCCTACTCTTCTTTGCTTCTTCCCATCCTTTCTCCATGGCTTTGGACCCAAGCAATGATCTGATCCTCCTTGTATTAATTCCAGGCATTAATCTTCTATTGATTCAGGGTGTTGCTTTTATCTTATTTGCTCTTGATTCCTTGTGTCTTATTTGCTCTTGATTCCTTCCTTTGCTCTTGATTCCTTGCCTTGTGTTCACCTGGCTTTACTTCACCCGACATGCCTTCTTTCCTGGCTTTATCTTATTTTATTATTGATCCAAGTTATCGCTTGATTTGGTATCAATTACTTTATCTCAGCTCAATTTGAGGCAATATTATTATCTCAATTTATCTTATAAGAGCCTTTATCGCAATGCAGGGCAGGATAATCTCCATCTAGGACATGGCTTCCTTTTCTTCAGCGCATTACAGATAAGAAGGGCTAAACATCCCATGAGTTTCCCAGACTTGCAGGATTCATATTTTGTTTTATAAGGTCAATCTCTTTGGCTTGTTTGCCCTCCAATAAAACTATATTGTTTTAAAGCAACGAGAAAACTTTCCCTGTGGGAAGGAAATGTTTGTTTGCTTTTGCCAGCACTGATTTGCTTCCATTTTTAACTCCGAATGGAAAGGATGGGATTTATCGTTCAGCTAGAGGCTTCCATACTGGGGAACTAATGCAGTTTAGAACTGGAACTGCTATAGCATCCCCGGGAGGTGTAGTTTGACATAGCCTTTTCTGCAAGAGTGCAAACTACAACTCGCATAGCATTGAGACGGGCTCACTTCAAGGGCTGCCATTGTTTTCTACTAAATTTATATTATAATATTATATGTATTATTGACCTTGAAGGAGCTGGGGGTGGTGACGGCCGACAGGGAGCTCTGGCGTGGGCTGGTCCATGAGGTCACGAAGAGTCGGAGACGACTGAACGAATGAACAACAACATATGGCCTTAATACTGTTTTATATTATACTAGCTTGGGGACCCGGCGCTGCCCGGGTTATTAGAGAAAGTGGGTAATGGTGGTTCTGTATGCCAATTTTGGTCTTTATTGGTCATTGGATAACGGCTGTATTGTTTTCAGGAAGTGAGTGAAGGTCCCATCATCCATGGTCCACCCTCCTCCAAACAGCAGCAGGATATAGAGTGGGTCATGGGGGCTCTGTGTGCCAAGTTTGGTCTTTATCAGTCATTGGATGAGGGTGGCAGTGGTTTCAGTAAGTGAGTGAAGGTACTGCAAGTCCTATCATCCAAAGTCCATCCTCCTTCAAACTGCAGCAGGATGTAGAGTGGATCATGGGGGCTCTGTGTGCCAAGTTTGGTCTTGATTGGTCATTTGATGAGGTTTGCAGCAATCTTGGGAAGGGAGTGGAGGTACTTGAAGTCCCATCATCCATGGTCTGTCCTCCTCCAAACTGCACCAGGATGTAGAGTGGGATGTAGAGTTTTGTTCTTGATCAATCGTTGGATGAGGGTTGCAGTGGTCTCAGAAAGTGAGCAAAGGTACTGCAAGTCCCATAATCCATGGTCCATCCCCGGCCAAACCACAACAGGATGTAAAGTGGGTCATGAGAGGTCTATGTGCCAAGTTTGGTCCTGATCAGTCATTGGATGAGGTTAACAGCGGTCTCAGAATGTGAGTGGTGGTACTGCTAGTCCCATCATCCATGGTTCATCCTCCTCCAAACTGCAGTAGGATGTAGAGTGGGTCTTGTGGGCTCTGTGTGCCAAGTTTGGTCTGTATTGGTAATTTTCTGACGCAGCTCCTGGCCTTTTCCTTTCCTCTTTGTCATCTCGGAATCTTGGAATTGTGGCTGGCCAATCAGAGACCATATGCAAATTTCTTTCCCTCATGTTTCCGTTTCTGTCATAAACCCTTTTCTCCACCAGGGGCTCCTGTTGTAGCTGGCCAATCAGAGACCTTATGCAAATTGTACCACAGTGGCAGCCAATTGGAATCTTGGAACTTTCAGGCTGGCTAATCAGAGACCATATCCAAATAGCACCACAGAGGCAGCCAATCAGAAAGCTGGCACATACCCGGTCGCACCGCCACACTTCTGTCCGCCGCATACAAACTTTGACTTTTATTATATACATAGATTACATTGTATTATATACCATATTATATTATACTATACTATATTATATTATTATTTACATTATATTATTAAGTATAATAATAAATTATTGTTCTTACCATTTCCTGCAGGCTTGACCTCTTGACCGGGGCGATGTCCAGTGGGGCTGAGAATGTGCTGCTGCCCTTCCCGGGGGAGCCCCTGTCCTTTGGGGCGGGGGACTATGGGGTCTTTGGCCTGATGCTGGCTGTCTCCACAGCTATCGGCCTCTTCCAGGCCCTGCGCAAGGGGGGCCGCAAGGGGGCCAAGGGCCAAGATCAGGCCACCACCGAGGAGTTCTTCACGGGGGGCCGCCGCATGCCCGCCCTCCCTGTGGGCCTCTCCCTCTCTGCCAGCTTCATGTCCGCCATCCAGGTGCTGGGTGTCCCCGCCGAGGCCCACCGCTATGGCCTCAAGTTCCTCTGGATGTGCCTGGCCCAGGCCATCAACACCCTCCTCACCGCCACACTCTTCCTCCCCGCCTTCTACCGACTGGGACTCACCAGCACATACGAGGTGAGTGGGCACAACATCCAGGCATCCATCTAGCCATCCATTCATGTATCTCTCCCCGCCCCCCCTATCTATCTATCTATCTATCTATCTATCTATCTATCTATCTATCTATCTATCTATCTATCTATCTATCTATCTATCGGGTAGATACCAGGTCAGTCCATTCATCCATTCATCTATTTAGTCTTTCATCTATTTATCTACTTATCAATATATCTATCTCTATCTATGTATCCTCCCTTTTATCCAACCATTCATCCATCTATCTATCCTCTCGTCTATCAGTCTCTCTATTCATCCATCCCTCTATCCATCCATCCACTCATCGTCTCATCCATCCATCTAGTCTCTCATCTATTCATCTATCTATCTATCTATCTATCTATCTATCTATCTATCTATCTATCTATCTATCTATCTATCTATCTATCTATCTATCTATCTATCTATCCATCCAGTCTCTCATCTATTCATCTATTCATCTATTTATCTATCTATCTATCTATCTATCTATCTATCTATCTATCTATCTATCTATCGTCTATCCATCCATCCATCCATCCATCCATCCTCTCATCTATGTATGTATGTATGTGTCTGTCTGTCCGTCCGTCCGTCCATCCATCCATCCATCCATCCATCCATCCATCCATCCATCCATCTATCTAACTATCTATCTATCTATCTAGCCAAGTCTCTCATTCATCCTTCCACCTATCTATCTGCATACCCCTCCTCTATATCCCTTCTCCAATGCCTTTGGGGTCTTCTCGGTATTGCAGGGCTGGCCAGGCAGGAAGGAAGGACACCCCAATCCCTCCCAACAGATGGCCAGCCAGGCTCTTCAAGGCAGGTGGATCTTCTCTGCCCTCCAGCTTGGAGGGTCTGAAGAGGACTCTCTGACCAATGGAGCGTGGCCTTGGTTCCTCTCCTTAGGCCAGTGAAGCATCTGCCTCATGCTCGCTTGGAGTGACCCTCAAGGGTTTCCAGAGAAGGCACTGGCTCAGAGCCCAGCAGGGAGGAGAGGGACTCAGGAAGGCACGGGCCAACTCCAGCCCTCCCTCCAAGGGTTTTGGACCCCAACTCCCACCATTCCTAAGAGCCAGTATTATATTATTATTGTTGTTGTTGTTATTTTATTATTATTGTTATATATTATTATATTATAATAGTAATAATATTTTTTATTTTATTTTATTATTTTATTATTAGTATAATATAATATTATTTTAAAAATATTTTAATTATTTTACTATTACTACTATCATCATATTTTATTGTGCGCATTACTAGCTTGGATACCAGGCAATGCATGAGTTATTTATTAGGAAAAAAGCCAGTTTTTGATGGTTTTTTTATGAATGTTCCCATTAGAAAATTCATAAGGATGTGGGTGAATTAAAATTCCCAGAATCGTGGGTCAATCCTCACCAAACTAGGCCTGTATGCACAGTCGGCCATGTTTCATCTATGTGCCAAGTTTGGTCCAGATCCGACACTGGCTGGGTTCAGTTCTCTCTGGATGGAGGTGAACTACAACTCCCAGATTCCCAGGGCAATCACCCCCAATCTCCGCCTGGATTCACAGTTGGGCATTGGATCTGTGTGCCATGTTTGGTCCAGATCCGTCATTGGTGGGGTTCAGAGCGCTCTGGGTGCAGGCTGAACTACAACTCCCATGTGGGTTTGGTCCATCCTCCCCCAACCCTCACCAGGACAAAAAGTGCATCATAGGGAGTCTGTGTGGCAAGTTTGGTCCAGGTCTGTCATTCATGGAGCTTGTAGTAGTCTCTGGATATAGATGAAGGTACTGCAAATCCCATCATCCACAGTAAGTGTGGTCTAGATCCATCATTGGTTAGGTTCACAGGGCTCTCTGGATGTAGGTGAACTACAACTCCTATAAATCATGGTGAATTCTCCCCAAACCTCTTGTTCGCTTGTTCAATTTCTGTTTGCTGTGTGCCATAGGAAAGGGTAGGAAAGGATTAAGGGAAAGGCAATGGGCAGGGTCATGCAAATTCCACACCCATGGAGAGAAAGGAACCCTGAGATGTCCATTCTGGAGGAAAAACAGAATATTTAGGATGAAATTGTCCCTGAATGAAAGCATTTCTTGGGTGCTGGGCAGTATGTTGTTTGGGGAGGACATTGGCAGGGTTTGGGAGACATATTCATGGTGGAACGTTCTGTTTTTCTGTCTCTCTCCCCCCCCCCCCCCCCCCCAAATCTCTCTCTTTCCGGCCTGAAATGTGCCGGACCCCCTTTGGGGAAGAACGAGAGGCCAAGGCGTCTGTTTTCCTGCTCTGGCCTTTTGCTGTGATTGTGAGCAGGACACAAACAAACAAAACCCTCAAGGGGTCAAAGGCCAAGGGCTGGCCAACAGGCACCAGCTGGGTCCCCTGTGGCCATTTTTCCATTCATTCCATTCCTAGGGAAGAACAACACAAGCCGGAGTCCACTCCTCATGTCTTCTTTCTTTCTCTTTCTCCACAGTACCTGGAGATGAGGTTCTCCAAAAAGGTCCGTCTCTGTGGGACCATCCAGTACATCCTGGCCACAGTGAGTCCAGCAGCCCATTTGGATGCTGCTTGATGGCCTCAAGGGGCCCCAAAGCACTCCAGTTTGAACGGAATTATTATTATTATTATTATTATTATTATTATTATTATTATTATTACCACAAAAGCACAGTATGTCACAGCAAACGAGATCTATATGCTGGATTTCGTATCACAAAATCACAAGTCGAACACTTCCCAAGCGTCTAGGACTGTGTGATGTATTTTCGAATGATGCACGCAGATCCAAGTATGGTGGCCTTTTGCAATTGACAGATCGTGATTTTGTTGATGTTTGTTTCCAAATGCCGGCTGAGATCTTTTGGCACGGCACCCAGTGCGCCAATGACCACTGGGACCACCTGTACTGGTTTATGCCAGAGCCTTTGCAGTTCGATTTTGAGGTCTTGATAGCGGCTGAGTTTTTCCTGTTGTTTTTCCTCAATGCGGCTGTCACCTAGTATGGCGACATCAATAATCCAGACTTTTTTCTTTTCCACAATTGTGAGGTTGAGTGTATTGTGTTCCAAAACTTTGTCAGTCTGGATTCGAAAGTCCCACAGTATTTTTGCATGTTCATTTTCCATGAGTTGTGTCTTTGTTTGTAGTCCATCTGTGCGACTTTCTTGCAACAGCTTAGGATATGGTCCATGGTTTCCTCAGCTTCCTTGCACAGTCTGCATTTTGGGTCATCAGCTGATTTTTCAATACTGTCCTTAATGGCATTTGTTCTGATGGCTTGCTCCTGGGCTGCAAGAATCAGGCCTTCTGTCTCCTTCTTCAGGGTTCCATTCATGAGCCTGGCAAAATTGTTCAAAATAATTCGATCTCTAACGACGGTTCCTACCGTCCCAAAAAGTGGTGATCAGGCCCCTTCCAGCCGAGGTTTTTCAGAGCTATTTTGCAGACAAGATCTCGCTACTTCGCCGGGACCTCCCTGCCACAATTGATACAGTGAGAGAACTTGAGACCCCGTGGCCACTTGCTGGGCCCATCCTCGACCGGTTCATCCCGCTGGATGCAGGGGCTGTCGATAGGCTCATAGCTGCAGCTAGACCGACCACTTGCTCCCTCGATCCGTGTCCCTCTTGGTTGGTGAAATCCTGCTTGGAGGGATTACGTGACCCTCTGTTGAAGATCATAAACAGCTCCCTTGAGCAAGGAGTTTTTCCAGAGGGTTTAAAAGAGGCGGTGGTCTCTCCCCTGCTGAAGAAACCAGACTTAGATTGTCTGGTTCCCTCCAGTTACCGCCCAGTTTCGAATCTCTCGTTCCTGGGCAAGGTGATTGAGAGGGCAGCAGTGGAGCAGTTGCAGCAATTCCTAGACGACACAGCTGGACTAGATCCCTTCCAGTCCGTCTTCCGTGCAGGGCATGGGACAGAGACTGTGCTGGTCTCCATCACAGATCACCTTCGATGCCAGCTTGACCAGAGCGGGTCAGCGCTGCTTGTGTTATCGGATCTCACAGCAGCATTTGACACAGTCGACCACAATCTTTTGACCCACCGCCTTGCTGTTGCTGGAGTCAGGGGGACAGCTTTAAACTGGCTGTCCTCCTTTCTTCACAACCGTGGACAGCGAGTGGAGAGGGGAGGCCTGGTCTCTGAGAGGTCCCCTCTATCTTGTGAGGTTCCTCAGGGGGCCATTCTCTCCCCTCTGTTGTTTAACATCTATATGCGACCACTTGCTCAGCTGGTTCGAGGTTTTGGGCTTGAGTGTTATCAGTACGCCGATGACACTCAGCTGGTGCTGAAGATGGAAGGCCGACCGGACTCTGTACCCGATTGTTTCCATCAGTGCCTCGAGGCCGTTACTGGATGGCTGCGTGCCAGCAGGTTGAGGGTGAATCCAGCAAAGACGGAGATCCTATGGCTGGGTCGACCGGGCAGTGGGGATATCCAGCTGCCTACCCTGGATGGCGAGGCGCTACGCCCGTCATCATTGGTAAAGAGTCTGGGAGTCCTTTTGGACCCTCTGCTGACGATGGAGGCCCAGGTCTCCGCCGTTAGCAGAACCGCCTTTTTCATCTGCGGCAGGCTAGACGGCTGGCCCCTACCTGTCCAGGGACGACCTAGCTACGGTGATCCAGGCTACGGTCATCTCAAGACTGGACTACTGTAACGCCCTCTACATTGGCCTTCCTCTGTCGGTGATCCGGAAGCTCAAGTTGGTACAAAATGCAGCTGCTCGGCTTCTTGTGGGAATTCCGATGAGATGCCACATAACACCAATCTTACTACAGCTGCATTCGTTACCAATTGAGCTTTCAAAGTGATGGTACTCACCTTTAAGGCCTTGCGTGGTCTGGGGCCTCACCCCCTACCAACCCCAGAGATCCCTCCGTTCTGAGGACCAAGATCTCTTGGAAATTCCCAGTGTCAAGACCTTGCGTCTAAGAGCAACCAGACGCAGAGCCTTTACAGCAGTGGCACCATCACTCTGGAATACTCTACCACCTGAAGTCCGTGCCTTGCAGGACTTATCAGCTTTCCGCAGGGCATGTAAGACATACCTGTTTCGACAGGCTTTTAATGTTTGATATTGCTGTTTTTAAATTGTTTGTAAATTGTGTCAGATTTTAGCCATTCTTGTAAGCCGCTCCAAGCCCCACGGGAGTGGCGGCATATAAGTTCAAATAATAAATAAATAAATAAATAAATAAATAAATAAATAAATAACCAGGTCTTCTCCCAACTTTTCCTTTAATTTTGTCATGGAACTGCCCATGCAATGCTTTGTTGTGCCAGCTGGTGGTAGTGCAGTTTTCTTGTACTTGTATCATCATCATCTTGTTGTTATCAAGGCCTCTTTAAAGACGTAAAAGGGTCAAAGGTGGAGCTCTTTCTTTCTCTTTGGCCCAAACAGATGCTGTACACGGGGATTGTCATCTATGCTCCGGCCCTGATCCTCAACCAAGGTACCTTCAATCAAGTTCTCCTTGTTAGGGATCTTTCCCCATTTAATGCATTTCATTAAACAAATTACATTAAATTAAATGCATTTCCATGCTTCCTTCCTAGTGACGGGTCTGGATATCTGGGCATCCCTGCTCTCCACTGGCATTATCTGCACCTTTTATACCACCATAGTGAGTCCATTTTACTCATTGTTGTTGTTGTTGTTGTTATGACATAAAAACACAGTATGACACAGCAAACGAGATCTATATGCTGAATTTCGTATCACAAAATCACAAGTCAAACACTTCCCAAGCATCTAGGACTGTGTGATGTATTTTCGAATGATGCGTGCAGATCCAAGTAAGGTGGTCTTTTGCAGTTGACAGATCATGTCATGATTTTGTCAGTGTTTGGTGTTTCCAAATGTTGATATCTTTTGGCACAGCACCCAGTGTGCCGATTAGTATTACCACTGGGACCGCCTGTACTGGAGTCTTTGCAATTTGATTTTGAGGTCCTGATAATGGCCAAGTTTTTCCTCAATGCAACTGTCACCTGGTATGGTGACATCAATAATCCAAACTTTTTTCTTTTTCACAATCGTGATGTCTGGTATATTGTGTTCCAAAACTTTGTCAGTCTGGATTCGAAAAGTCCCACAGTATTTTTCCGTGTCCATTTTCCACTACCTTTGCAGGTTTGTCATCCCTTTGCAAGTTCTTTACTACTGACAGGTGGTACTTGAGACATAAGTCCCAATGAATAATTTGGGCAACAGAGTTTTTCTTCTGTTTGTAGTCTGTGCGATTTTCTTGCAGCAGCTGAGGATATAATCAATGGTTTCATCAGCTTTCTTGACCAGTCTGCAATTTTGGTCATCTGATTTTTCAATCCTGGCCTTAATTGCATTTGTTCTGATGGCAATATTATTATTATTATTATTATTATTATTATTATTATTATTATTATTATTATTAGAAACACAACAAGTTGAGTCCACAACAAACAAGGTCACTCTGCTGGCTGTTGTATAAGATCACATGTCAGACACTTCCCCAGTGTCTAGGACTGTGTGATGTATCGGCAAATAATGCGTGTAGATCTCACTAAGGTGGCCTTCTGCAGCTGGCCGATGGTAATTTTGTCAGCGCCAATTGTGTTTAAGTGCAGGCCAAGGTCTTTAGGCACTGCACCCAGTGTGCCGATCACCACTGGGACCACCTTGACTGACTTGTGCCAGAGTCTTTGCAGTTCGATCTTTAAATCCTCATATCGTGTCAGCTTTTCCAGTTGTTTCTCCTCAATCCTGCTGTCACCTGTGATTGCAACATTGACGACCCATACTTTGTTTTTTAACACGATAGTGAGGTCAGGAGTATTGTGCTCCAAAAGTCTGTCTGAATTCGGAAGTCCCAGAGGAGTTTGATGTGTTCATTTTCTGTAACTTTTTTCAGCTTGTTGTTGTTATTATTATTATTATTTTCTCTGCACAAAGGAGACTCAAAGTGGCATTATGAAATTATTATTATTATTATTATTATTATTATTATTATTATTATTATGGCTATTTATTCCTCTCCGTCAGGGCGGGATGAAGGCGGTGATCTGGACTGACGTCTTCCAGGTGCTGGTGATGCTATCAGGCTTTGTGGCCATCCTCATCCGCGGGACCATCCTGGTCGGCGGTCCCAAACGTGTCCTGGACATCGCCTACAATGGCTCCCGAGTCAACCCCGCCGAGTACGCAGGCAGGGCAGGGCAGTGCGGAGGGAGGGAGGGCACCCCAAAGGACATCAAGTCCAGCCCCCTTTTGCCAAGCAGGAAGATAGAATTACTACATTATTATTATTATTATTATTATTATTATTATTATTATTATTCTGCTAGAGTTGGAAGGGACCCTCAAAGGGCATACAGTCCAACCTCCTTCTATCTAAACTGGGTGCCTCCCCTTGGATTTCTGCGTGTGTCCTGGACTGACCCCTGTCCGCTCTCGTTTCCAGTTTCGACCTGGACCCGCGCAGCCGCTACACCTTCTGGACGTTCCTCCTTGGGGGGACCCTGGTGTGGCTCTCCATGTATGGCGTGAACCAGGCCCAAGTCCAGCGCTATGTGGCCTGCAAGACAGAGAGGCAGGCCCAGCTGTGAGTAGAGGAAGGAGGAAGGAAGGGGATGGAGGGGGGGGGGGGGGAGAAGGAGGAAGAGAGGAGAGGATTTCAGGTTTAGAAGGTTAAGGCACTAGAGGAAGAGGAAGGAAGGAAGGAAGGAAGGAAGGAAGGAAGGAAGGAAGGACGGAAGGAAGGAAGGAAGGAAGGGAGTGAACCAGGCTCAAGTCTAGCTATATGGCTTGCAGGACACAGGAGCAGGCCCAGCTGTGAGGAGAGGAAGGAAGAAGACGGGAAAGAAGGAAGGAGGGAAGGAAAGAAAGAAAATGAGAGAGAAAGAGAGAGGGGGGAAGAAAGAAGGGAGGAAAGGTGGGGGGAAGGAAAAAAGGAGAGAAGGAGAGAGAGACGAGGGAGGAGAGAGGGAAGGAAAGAAGGAAGGAAAGAAAATGAGAAAGGAAGAAAGGAGATTCCATCTGAACATGAGGAAGAACTTCCTGACTGTGAGAGCCGTTCAGCAGTGGAACTCTCTGCCCCGGAGTGTGGTGGAGGCTCCTTCTTTGGAAGCTTTTAAACAGAGGCTGGATGGCCATCTGTCAGGGGTGATTTGAATGCAATATTCTTGCTTCTTGGCAGGGGGTTGGACTGGATGGCCCATGAGGTCTCTTCCAACTCTTTGATTCTATGATTCTATTATGAAAGAATGAGAGAGGAAGGAGGAGAGGAGGGAAGGAAGAGAGAGAGAAAGAGGAAGGGAAGGAAAGAAGGAAGGAAGGAAATGGAAGCAAGAGGAACCAAGCCACATCAGCACTAGGGCCTGCAAGACAGAAGGAAGAAGGAAGGAGAGAAGAAGGAGAGGGAAGGAAGGAGGAAAAGGGAAAGAGGGAAAGAAGAAAGAAGAGGAGGGAGGGAGGGGGGAAGGAGGGAAGGAAGGAAGAAAGGAGAGAGGAAGAGGGGGGAGAAGGAAGAAAAGAGAGAAAGAGAGGGAGAGGGAAGGAAGAAAGGAATGAAAGAGAAGAGGAAGAGAGAAGGAAGGAGGGAGGGAGGAAAGAAAGAGAAAAGAGAGAAAGGAAAGAGAGAAAGGAAGAGGAAAAGAAGAGACCAAGAGAGAAGGGAGAAAGAAAGAAGAGAAGAGAGGAAAAGGAAGGAAGGAAGGAAGGAAGGAAGGAAGGAAGGAAGGAAGGAAGGAAGGAAGGGGAGAGAGAGAGAAAGGAAGGAAGGAAGGAAGGAAGGAAGGGGGGAGAGAGAGAAAGGAAGGAAGGAAGGAAGAAAGAGGAAGAGAAAAAGAGGAAGGAAGGAGGAAAGAAAGGGAGGGGGGAAGGAATAAAAGGAACTGAGAGGAAGAGAGAGGAGGAGGAAAGAAGAAAGGAGAGAAGAAGGGAAGGAAGGAAATTTGCAGAGGCCTTGCCTTCCCATGCAGATGCAAGGTGCTTTAAAGTGAGCCTTTGGCCCAGCCTGGAGGCCCAGGGCATTGCTTTGAGCCAGCAGTTGCTTCTATGTCTCCTTCCTTGGCTCTCTATCTCTCCTTCTCTCCTTCCTTTCTTTCTTGCAATCTGGGTGGCCTCCTCCCTCTCTCTTATAGACTTAAGCCCTGTCCTCTCCACCCTTCACATGCATCCTTCTATAATATAATCACATAAAATAATATACATAATATAATATTAATGTATAATAATAATAATAATAATAATAATAGAAGAATAATAGTATCATATAATAATATAAAATAATATACATAATATAATGATTTATAATAATGATACATTGATGTATAATAGTATAATATAATATAAAAATATAAGTTATATAATATTTTATTATAATAATCATGAATGCATAATAAATTATAACAATCCATTAATGTATAATAACAATACTATATATATATATATATATATATATATATATATATATATTAGCTGTACCCTGCCACGCATTGCTGTGGCACACATGGGGGTTCTGTGTGGGAGGTTTGGCCCAATTCTATCATTGGCGGGGTTCAGAATGCTCTGTGATTGTAGGTGAACTATAAATCCCAGCAACTACAACTCCCAAATGTCAATATTCTATTTTCCCCAAACTCCACCAGTGTTCACATTTGGGCATATTGAGTATTTGTGTAGAGTTTGGTCCAGATCCATCATTGTTTGAGTCCACAGTGATCTCGGGATGTAGGTGAACTACAACTCCAAAACCAAAGGACACTGCCCACCAAACCCTTCCAGTATTTTCTGTTGGTCAGGGGAGTTCTGTGTGCCAAGTTTGGTTCAATTTCATCGTTGGTGGAGTCCAGAATGCTCTTTGATTATAGGTGAACTATAAATCCCAGCAACTACAACTCCCAAATGACAAAATCATTTTTTTTGAGTGATGGTCACTCCTTGTGTTGTGAGACGTTTTGTTGCCAAATTTGGTGTGATTTCGTTCATTGGTTCTTTTGTTTTTAAGGTACTCATTATGCACAGAGCATTTATATATATTATATATATAGATCCGGAGCCCCCGGTGGCGCAGTGGGTTAAAGCACTGAGTTGATGAACTTGTTGATCGAAAGGTCGCAGGTTCAATTCCGGGGAGCAGCGTGAGCTTCCTCTGTCAGCCCTAGCTTCTGCCAACCTAGCAGTTCGAAAACATGCAAATGTGAGTAGATCAATAGGTACCGCTCCGGGAAGGTAATGGCGCTCCATGCAGTCATGCCGGCCACATGACCTTGGAGGTGTCTACGGACAACGCTGGCTCTCGGCTTAGAAATGGAGATGAGCACCACACCCCAGAGTCAGACATGACTGGACTTAATGTCAGGGGACTACCTTTACCTTTTATATATATATATTACTTAGGCGATTCCTCGTTTTCCGAGGATGATTGTCTTCCAACATTCTTGTGGGTCCGTATGTGCCACAGCCACACACACACACACACACACACACACACATATATATACTAGCCGTACCCTGCCACGTGTTGCTGTGGCACACACGGGGGTTCTGTGTGGGAGGTTTGGCCCAATTCTATCATTGGTGGGGTTCAGAATGCTCTGTGATTGTAGGTGAACTATAAATCCCAGCAACTACAATTCCCAAATGTCAAGATTCTATTTTCCCCCAAACTCCACCAGTGTTCACATTTGGGCATATTGAGTATTCATGTAGAGTTTGGTCCAGATCCATCATTGTTTGAGTCCACAGTGACCTTTGGATGTAGGTGAACTACAACTCCAAAACCAAAGGACACTGCCCACCAAGCCCTTCCAGTATTATTCTGTTGGTCAGGGGAGTTCTGTGTGTCAAGTTTGGTTCAATTTTATCGTTGGTGGAGTCCAGAATGCTCTTTGATTATAGGTGAACTATAAATCCCAGCAACTGCAACTCCCAAATGACAAAATCATATTTTTTGAGTGATGGTCACTCCTTGTGCTGTGAGACGTTTTGGTGCCAAATTTGGTGTGATTTCGTTCATTGGTTCTTTCGTTTTTAAGGTACTCTTGCTCATCCAACATAAATGGGCCGGCAGACTGTTGGATAAGCGGAAATGTTGGATAATAAAGAGGAATTAAGGAAAAGCCTATTTAACGTCAAATTACGTTATGATTTTGCAAATAGAAGCACCAAAACATCATGTTTTACAATAAATGGACAGAAAAAGCAGTTCAGTACACAGTAACGTTATGTAGTATCATTTTATATGTATATTAATATATTATTCTTGTAATATACATTAATTCATTATAATAAATTATTATATTGCGTATATTATTTTATATTTAATTTTACTTATTATTTAATGTATTATTATACATTAATGTATTAATATTATAAAGTATTTTGTTTTGTATATTATTTTATCTTAAATTATATTACAGTAGAGACTCGCTTATCCAACCTTTACTATATTTACAAATTTAGCACCAAAACATCACAGTGTATTGAAACATCTGTGGATCTGGGCGGGAGGCAGACTGCGCTGGATAATACAGAATGTCGGATGAGCGAAGGTTGGATAAGCGAGACTCTACTGTAATATAATTTAAGATAAAATAATATACACAATAAAATACTTTATAATATTAATACATTAATGTATAATAATACATTAAATAATAAGTAAAATTAAATATAAAATAATAGACATAATATAATCATTTATTATAATGAATTAATYTATATTACAAGAATAATATATTAATATACATATAAAATGATTTATTATAATACGCGAATGTATAATATTTATAATATTAGAATTATAGTAGTATGATATAATAATATAAAATAATATACATATAATGGCCCAACTTACCTGTCCAACCGCATGAGCCAAGAAGAGCTTTAATTTGCAGACGCGACTGGCCGGGAGGAGGGGCAGGGTCTTCCTTCCTTCCTCCTCTGTGGTAGCCCCTCAGTTGTGGGTCTCCCTCCCCAGTGACACATCAGACAGGCCCCCTCCCTCCCTCCCTTCTGGTCTTCAGGAAAAGACTAAAGACTTGGCTTTGCACACAAGTGCTTGAAGAATGCTATGACGGATTTTGACATAGGCTGAAGAAGGACTTGTAGCATGGATGATGGGTGAATGGTCTCATGCACTTTATATGTTCTTGATCGGTTATTATTCTGCGTGTTTTATTGGATTAACTGTTTTAATTGTTTAATTGATGAGGCCTGTTTTAAATGGCATTGAATCTGGCTGGGGTTGTGAGCCTCCTTGAGTCCCTCTTGGGAGGGGGGGTGGTGGTGAGAAAACCAGGGTAGACCTGGAGCAAATAAATAAATAAATAATCACATCCTAAATGACGGGATCAAGGGACTCACGCAGAGGGAGGACACCACCCAACCCCTCTCGACAGAAGGCCATCTTTCTCAATTCACCTCCCCCCCCCTTTTCTCCCCCAGTGCCCTCCTGCTCAACCAGCTCAGCCTCTTTGTCATTGTGGGCTGCGCCGTCGGCTGCGGTATCGTCATGTTCGCCCTCTACAAGGACTGCGACCCACTGCTGGCCGGCCTCATCTCCGCACCTGACCAGGTACTATTATTATTATTATTATTATTATTAAGCAGGGGCTGGGGGGACATATGTTGGGAGGGATCGGATGGTTCTTTCCCTATATATTTACCTATCCATCCATCCATCTCTCCTATCTATCTATCCATCCATCCATCCATCCCTCTTATCTATCTATCCATCCATCCATCCATCCATCCATCCATCCATCCATCCATCCATCCATTCCTCTCATCTACCTATCCCCTCATCTGTCTGTCTGTCTGTCTGTCTGTCTGTCTGTCCGTCCGTCCATCTATCTATCTATCTATCTATCTATCTATCTATCTATCTATCTCTCTATCTATCTCATCCATCCATCCATCCATCCATCCTATTCTTTCCCTCCTCCTTCTCGTCCCTCTCCATATTCTATCTATCGTATCTGTCTTTTCTATCTATCTATCTATCTATCTATCTATCTATCTATCTATCTATCTATCCTATCCATCCATCCTATCTATCTATCCATGCTATCTATCTATCTATCTATCTATCTATCTATCTATCTATCCTTCTATCTATCTATCTATCTATCTATCTATCTATCTATCTGTCCTCCATCCATCCATCCTATCTATCTCTCCTTCCTATCTATCTATTCTATCTATCTGTGTGTGAGTGAATCATATCTATCTATCTATCTATCTATCTATCTATCTATCTATCTATTTCCTATCTATCTATCTATCTATCTATCTATCTATCTATCTATCTATCTATCTATCCATCCATCCATCCATCCATCCATCCATCCATCCATTCCTCTCATCTACCTATCCTCTATCTATCTATCTATCTATCTATCTATCTATCTATCTATCTATCTATCTATCTATCCTCTCATGTATCTATCTATCTGTCTGTCTGTCTGTCTGTCTGTCCGTCCGTCCGTCCATCCATCCATCCTTTCTATTTATCTATCTATTTATCTATCCATCCACCCATCCCTCTCTTCTATCTTCTCTTCTATCCCTCCCTCTCATCTATCTATCTGTCTATCTATCTATCTATCTGTCTATCTATCTATCTATCTATCTATCTATCTATCTATCTATCTATCTATCTATCCTATGTTCTATCTATCTCTCCATCCATCCATCTCTCAATTTCTCCATCCTCTCATCTACCCATCCTCTTGCCAAGGGGCTAGAAACTGGATCCCATTAACTTCCTGCTCCTCCTTGCAGTACATGCCATACTTGGTGCTGGACATCTTTGAGCAATACCCGGGCGTGCCGGGCCTCTTCCTGGCCTGCGCCTACAGCGGGACCCTCAGGTCAGTGCAAAGCTTCTCCCCCCCCCCCCCTCCTTTCCGCCCCTGCGAGGGAGACACGCCTGGTGGGAGCCAGGCTTGGAAGTGGATCTAAAGGTCCTTGGGTGGCCTGGATGGAGGTCATTGTCTTCAGCTGGGCTCCGTGGGGTCTTCCTGGGGCCCACTAACCCTTTGGCGGGCCCTGTGACCCTAACAGCACGGCCTCCACCAGTATCAACGCTATGGCTGCCGTCACCGTGGAGGACCTCATCAAGCCCAACCTGCCCAACCTCTCGCCACGCAAACTCACCCTCGTCTCTAAAGGCCTCTGTGAGTATCTCCTTGGCATCTCTAGCCACATCCATTACTTCTTTGTGCCTCCCATGGACCATTTTGGTTGCTCTGTCAGAAAACAGTGGAAGTGGTGCACAATTTGAAGTTTTCTCCTTCTTCCACCATGCCCTCTCTAAATACACTGCTGCGCACCAGACAGATGGTCACCAGGGCAAGCTAAGAAAATCAATCCAAACATTGCAGTGTCTTTATCAGTAGTTAGCAGCATTTTTACTGCACAGCTTCTGACCTTGTTGCCGCTGCCTGTTTAAGTCAGGCCTGAGGCAACTATGGCTTCCCTCCCTCCAGGTGTTTTGGACTTTGACTCTCACAATTCCTAACAGACAGTATTTTATTATTATTATATTTTATTATTATATATTATTATTATTTTATTATAACATTAATTATTTTTAAATATTGTTGTATTATATTATTTAATTAACATAATTTTATTTTTCATTTTAAAATATTTATCATTATTGAATTATCAATCTATATTATTATGTATTATTTTAAATATTTTATTATATTATTTTTGTTTTATATTATTATATTTTATTATTATATTATTTTCCCCCTCCTCCTTGCAGTACATGTTTTAAATATTTTAATACTTAAATATTATTATAATATTATTGGGGAAAGTGGAAGGTAAAAGGAAGAGGGGCCGACCAAGGGCAAGATGGATGGATGGCATCCTTGAAGGATGAAGGCGAAGGACTGACCTTGAAGGAGCTGGGGGTGGTGACGGCCGACAGGGAGCTCTGGCGTGGGCTGGTCCATGAGGTCATGAAGAGTCGGAGATGACTGAACGAATGAACAACAACATAATGTTATTATTACCAGCTATTAAGAATTGTGGTAGTTGAAGTCCAAATCACCTGGAGGGAGGGCCAAAGTGAGAGAACTCTTTAAGAGAACTCTTTAACTCTGGTTTCTATCCACACTCACAATGGAGGCTTTCAATCTTGATGTATAGCTTTATGTACAGCTATATACACACATATCAAAATCCCCCGATCTCCTATCGGTATGCACAGAGACAGAGGCGGCCCTAGGTAATTTTCAAAGGTAAGCAAACAGTATTTTGGCGCCCCCCCCCACCAATCATTGATATATATTTTCTGTTTGTCGTGGGAGTTCTGTGTGCCATATTTGGTTCAATTCCATCATTGGTGGAGTTCAGAATGCTCTTTGATTGTAGGTGAACTTCCCAGTAACTACTTCCCAGTAACTACACTTGCCACACTTGCTCCCTTGCCTGGCCCGCTTTGGGTCCGGAGGCGTGCCTGAAGACCCCGGCGTGGGCACCAAAAGTCACCTCTTCTCCTGACTTTCTCCTCAGCCATTGGGACCAAGAGAGAGAGAGAGAGCAGAGGTGGAGAGGCCCACCTTTCCTGAAGGTAGGCGCAAAAACAAAGGAGGGAGCGGAGGTGGGAGATACCTCCAGCCGGAGGGGCTCTCTCTCTCTCTCTCTCTTGGTCCCAATGGCTGAAGAGAAAGTCAGGAGAAGAGGCGACTTTTGGTGCGCACGCTGGGGTCTTCAGACACGCCTCTGGACCCGAAGCGGGCCAGGCACGGCGGCTCCACCCCTTGGCCCACCCGCGGATTGGGGAGAGGAGAGGAGGCGGGTGGAGCGCCGGGGGATCAGGAAAGGGAGCCGGTCATGGGGAAGGGATCGAACGCGGAGAATGATTGAGTGCCGGCTTGCACACCCGGTGGCCAGGTGGAGCAGGAACAAGAGGGGCTAGGTGAGGCTCAGGGCCCGGCCCCTTTGGGAAGAGGATCGCCCGGCAGCGAGGCAAGAAAGCCGAGGCTCCCCCCGGACTGCTAGGGCTGTTGTGAGCTGAGGGGGCGCTCCTCAAGTGGCGGTCGAGGGGCATTTACAGAGGCGCCTCTGCGCCCCTGGCAAAAAAAAGTGTTCTGCGACCGCTTACTTCACGTAATGGACGAGCCACCCCTGCACAGAGATATACTCATGAGAGATACAGATATCAGCTACGGATGTATGACAAGAAGTGAGATAATCATGCTGAGAGAGAGAGAGAGAGAGAGAGCACATGCTTGCTGCCCATTTGGATACGCATTGCTTTTAATCTTCAAACAGGGACAATAGTTAATGATGCAACCCTCATCATGCCTGTCACATGGTCACGACAGTGAATGATGTATTACTCGTCATGCCACTTACATGGTCACGACTCAGCTTCTTTGCCTTTCCCTCCAGTTCCACATCACCCACTTAACCCTTCAGTAGGTGTATGTCCACATGTCCCTTAGAACTGTATTTTTCCAACCAGTTTTGTACAATGGTTTTACAGCCAAAGCATTCCTATCTAACTGTGCATTATCTACCTAACATGCTCCACTGCAGCCCCACTTTCCCAGAAACTGTCAGGTAGATAGAAATGCATTGTCTGTAACATCAGTGTGTGAAAAAATACAGTTCTAATGGACCTGTGGTCACAGCACCTTCCGCTGAAGGGTTAAGCAAGCGGAGATGTCGACCTAGAGGGACAGCTGAACCATGACCATATCACAGGCACAACAAGAATCATATCATTTCCTGCAGTCCCTATGGGTATAAAAGTAAGTGGCAGGCATGTGCATGTTCTCTTTGCCATGATGATGTATTGCCATGTGCGTGTCTTGCTTTATAGGATGGTTACTATTGCTTTTTATAAATATTTGTTTTACACAATTTAAATTGTATTTTATTTAAATTGTACTCCTTAAATTGTACAAGGCATTGAATATTTGCCTTTTTATGCCTGCGAACCACTTTGGGTCCCCACGGGGAGATGGGGTGGGATTTCAATAAAGTTTTGTTGTCATTTGTTGCTGTTGGCATGGTCGTCGCTTCTCATTTATATATATACTAGCTGTCCCCTGCCACACGTTGCTGTGGCCCAGTCTGTTGATCTGGCAAATAAAGTAATGAGAAAGTCTTGGTTTCTAATATATGTAATTTCTTTATGCTTGTGGGTAAATAGTATTTCTTGCTGTTTGTCAGTGTTGATGTGGAGAGTGTCTGGTTTGCCTACTCTGGAACATGCAACACATAAGGGGTCCCTTTCAAATCTATACTATATCTGTGTGTGAATCATATATATCTATCTATATCTATGGCTGGATGGCTCTTTGTCAGGAGGGCTTTGATTACGTTTTCTTGCCCTGATGAAGGGAGAAGGATTGGATGGCCTTAAGTATTTTCTGTTGGTCATGGGGGTTCTGTGTGGGAAGTTTGCCCCAATTCTGTCATTCGTAGAGTTCAGAATGCTCTTTGATTGTAGGTGAACTGTGAATCCCAGTGACTACAACTTCCAAATATCAAGGTATCCCCCCCCCCCAAAAAAAACAACAACAACAACTCCATCTGTGTTCATATTTGGGCGTATTGAGTGCTTGTGCCAATTTTGGTCCAGATCCATCATTGTTTGAGTCCACAGTGATCTCTGGATGTAGGTGAACTACAACTCCCAAACTCAAGGTTAATGCCCACCAAACCCTTCCAGTATTTTCTGTTGGTCATGGGAGTTCTATGTGGCAAGTTTGGTTCAATTTCATTGTTGATGGAGTTGAGAATGCTCTTTGATTATAGTTGAACTATAAATCCCAACAACTACAACTCCCAAATGACAAAATCATAATTTTTGAGTGATGGTCACTCCTTGTGTTGTGAGACGTTTTGTTGTCAAATTTGGTGTGATTTCGTTCATTGGTTCTTTGGTTTTTAAGGTACTCATTATGGACAGAGCATTTATATATATATGGTATATATATATGGTATATAGCATATACCAATAGCAGACCCAATGTGTAAACAGCTGCATATATAATCCAGCGAGTGAATATTCAAGCCTCCAAGAGGGGTTTGCCTGAAAGCCAGAGCTTGAGTGCCTTATTGAACAAGGCCAGAGGGTGTGCAGTAAATCTCTGCTAACTACAGATAAAGACTCTGCACTGTTTAGGTTGGATCTAACAGCCTGCTGTGAAACAATCAGTCCTATGTGTGGTTCGAAGAGGATGTGAGAAAAGGAATTAATCCATGTACCTGTCTAGCAGGTGTTTCATTTGTTTGTTGTTTCCCTATCAGTCCGAGGCAAAAGCAAACCTCTGCAGCTCATCCTAGGTTGTAACTTGGGCCTTTTTGACCCCAAAAAGCCCAATTTTTAAAACACTGGAAGGTATATTAAAAGGATAAACCATATCTCCTCTTTTATGTCTCTCTTCCAGCACTGATTTATGGCACGTCCTGCATCACGGTGGCAGCCCTGTCCTCCTTGCTGGGCGGAGGGGTGCTCCAGGTCAGTAGCATCATCATTGTCGTCGTCATCATCATCATCGGTAGTAGTAGTAGTAGAACTGTTGACACAACTGTTGTATCATTCCTCATATATTGAAATCTTAAATATGTGGCAATGCAGTGTTGTTATCATGATGATCTGTCTCCTACTGCAAGGGATGCTTTTCAAGGGCTGCCTGTGGCAGTCTCCAAGGGCCGTGCCAGAGACAGTGCACAGCAGTAATCAATCCCGAGAGATTTCCAGCCCTGGTGCTATCTCTGGGCGTTTTCCCGGTCCCAGAGGAGTGAAATGCGAACCCGTTGTACACAAAAGGGGAGAGAGAGAGAGGGCACAAACTCTTTTAACTGATGAAATTGTGCAAACAGGAGGTGCCCAGTTCACACACAAACGTTGCACGCCTTCCTTAACTTGTGCAAATGGGCTGCTTATCGCTTCCCCTCGATTCCCACTATCATACCCGGGTGGCTCAGTCACTGATAATAATAACAACAATAATAATACAGCCATAGTGTCCTAGTGTTGGAAGGGACCCCAAAGGCCATCCAGTCCAACCCATATTATATGCCAGTAAGGCAGCATTAAAGCTCCCCCAACAGATGGCTATCTAGCCTCTGAATAATAATAATAATAATAATAATAATAATAATAATAATAATAATATACCCCTCTAATAATAATAATAATAATAATAATAATAATAATAATATTTTGAATAATAAATAAAAATTATGTTGGAGCTCTTGGCCAGGTTAGCTTGCAATTCCAATCTTGCACTTCCCTTGCTAAGCTCTAATAATAATGATAACAACAACAACAACAACAACAACACTGGAGCTCTTTGCCAGGTTGTCTTGCAATTCCCTTGCTTAGCTCTAATGATACTCTAATGATACGAATGTGTTTTGACTGCCTTCTCCTCCTTGCAGGGCTCTTTCACGGTCATGGGGGTCATCAGTGGGCCGCTGTTGGGCGCCTTTGTCCTGGGGATGTTTGTCCCCGTTTGCAACACCCTGGTAAGGCTAAGCGCGATGCAAACACGAAGAAAAACAATGAAATGATAATAATAATAATAATAATAATAATAATAATAATAATAATAACAACAACAACAACAATACACTTTATTTATATTCCACTCTATCTCCCTGAGGTGACTCAGAGCGGATTACAACATACACAGATAGGCAAACATTCAATGCCTTTGTTACCTTCCTGCCAGAGCGGTATCTATTGATCTACTCACATTTGCATGTTTTCAAATTGCTAGGTTGGCAGAAGCTGGGGCTAACAGTGAGAGCTCACCCCAACCCATGGCTTTAAATTGCCAGCTTTTAGGTCAGCACATTCAGCAGTTCAATGGTTTAACCCAGTGTGCCACCCACCCGTTGTGGGTTAAAAAAAAAGCCAGATTCAAATATAAAAAATCCACTTGACATAAGACTGTAAGCACATTGGGCGACAAGAGAGCGATTGTGCAGTGGGGTTGTGTCTTGGGCCCAACTTCCTCCTTTCCTTCCTTCTTGCTTCTAGGGGGTCTTTTGCGGCCTGGGGGCCGGCTTCGGCCTGTCCTTGTGGGTGGCGGTGGGGGGCACCCTCTACCCACCCAGCCCAGCCACCATGGGTGTCCTGCCTTCCTACGGACACTTCTGCCCACTCTACAATGCCTCCGAGGGCGCCAACGCCACCCTCCACTTTGGACCGCTGCCCAACACAGACGCTCCGGAAGACCCCCTCGAGAGGTGAGTGGTGGGCCACGGCCTGGTGGGCCCCCACTGTGCCCCTTCCTTCCTTCCTTCCTGACCTCACTTCCTCCCGCCCTCCCACTGCAGGCTGGCACTGGTGGACGACTTCTACGCCATCTCCTACCTCTACTACGGGGCCCTGGGCACCCTCTCCACCATCATCATCGGCGTCCTGACCAGCCTCCTCAAAGGTCAGCAAACTGTGCTGCATTTCATCCTTATCATATTACATAATTATTACTATTATTGTATTATTATTACACATTCATGTATTATTAAAATATATTATCATACGCTATTATATTATTATGCAGTAATGTATTATTATAATAAAGTATATACAATTTATTATTATATATTATATACTATTATTATAATAAAGTAGTTTATTAAATTATACTATTATTATTCTAAAATTATATATTAATGTATTATTTTAAATTATATTACGTATATTATTTTGTTATATTATACTATTATTATTCTATTACTATCATACATCAGTGCATTATTATAAAGCATTATATTATTTTATATTATTATATTATTCTAATATAATTATCCTACATTAGTGTATTATTGTACATTATTATATTATTATATTATTTTATGTTATTATATTATACTATTATTGTTCTAATATGATACCTTCATGCATTATTATAAATTATATTATTCATATTAATTTATATTATACTATTATTCTAAGATTATTATACATTCATCTTATTATTTTATATTATTCTATTATACTATTATTATTCAAATATTATTATACATTCATGTGTTATTATAAATTATTATATTTTATATTATTATATTATACTATTCTAACATAATTAACATAATTATGTAATAGTATGTTATTGTATTAGATTATTTATGTTATTATATTATTATTATTATATTACAATTTATATATTATTATTATATTATTTAGATTATTTTATATTATACTATGGAGCCCCCGGTGGCGCAGTGGGTTAAAGCCCTGTGCCGGCACGACTGAAGACCGACAGGTCACAGGTTTGAATCCGGGGAGGGGCGGATGAGCTCCCTCTATCAGCTCCAGCTCCTCATGTGGGGACATAAGAAGCCTCCCACAAGGATAAAACATCAAAATCATCCGGGCGTCCCCTGGGCAACGTCCTTGCAGACGGCCAATTCTCTCACAACAGGAGCAGTTGCTCCTGACATGACAAAAAAAAATTCAAATATTATTATACATTTAATTAAATGCTACAATTAGTTTTGGCAAGACAACTGGAACGGAATTTGGATTATGAGCTTGGCTATGATTCTACTATGAGACGGAGCGGATCATTTAGTGTAATTATATAATTGTTGTATTGTGGATATGCTGTTTTGTATTGCCTTTTGTAATTTGCCTTTTATATGTTGTACACCGCCGCGAGTCGCCCTAAGGCTGAGAGCGGCGGTCAACAAATGCACCAAATAATAATAATAAATAATAATAATGTGTAATTATAAATTATTATATTTTATATTATTTTATATTATTATATTATACTATTATTCTAACATAATTAACATAATGTTATTGTATTATTTAGATTATTTATGTTATTATATTATACTATTATTATATTACAATTCATATATTATTATTTATTATTATATTATTTAGATTATTTTATATTATATTATTATTCCAATATTATTATACATTGTCTTATTATTTTATATAATTACATTAAACGATTATTCTAATATCACAATACATTCCTGTCTTACCACATAATTATTACATAATATTCTTCTAATGTACATTCATGTATTATTATAAATTATAAAATATATTTATTATTGCTATTGTTATTACTATTATTATTTCCCCCGTAGAGGACTCAGAGCAGCTTTTAATGTTATTGTTCTATTAGTACAAATTAGCATATTATTATTTACAATATTATTATTAGACCTTATTGTGTTGTCATTAATATTATAAATTATTACCAATACTTATATTATTCTGGTCTCAGAGATCCCAAATCTATACTCTCCTTAACTCCTGTTATATTGCAGGGTCAGCCTCTCTCACTCTTCTACCTATTACAAATGATTATAAATACTTGTATTTCATTGTCAGTCTGTCCCTAAACCAGACTTTTCGTACTTTCAGGCCCTGCAAAAGGCAGCGAGAAGCGACCTGGAATGCTCTGGTGGGACATCATGAAGAGGCAGGCCTCCTCTTCCACTTCCGTCTTCCCTGATGAACTCAAGCAGACCTTGAACAAGGTAAGAGGTCTACCAAAGCAAAGGAACCATCACCATGAATATGATTAATAATAATAATAATAATAATAATAATAATAATAATAATAATAATAGACAGATGGGCTTGATCTGTTTTCCTCCCAGGCATTATTTTGAGATGAAAGTCCCAGGTGCCAGGAAGGACATAATAATGATAATAATAATAATAATAATAATAATAACTACTGCTAAAGTGCAAAAGAGAAAGAGGGAATACCGTAAAAATCCAATGCAGAGCAGAAGAGAAAACTTGCCAAAGAAGGCTCTCCATGGACAGTTCCTGGGAAAAACGGAGAGCAAAACTGAGAAGGAAAAGACATGGATGTGGCTCATAAATGGAGCTCTGAAAAAGGAGACGGAGGGCCTGATTCTTGCAGCCCAAGAACAAGCCATTAGAACCAATGCCCTCCAAGCCAGGATTGAGAAGTCAATGACAGATTCCAAGCGTAGACTCTGCCAGGAAGCAGGTGAAAGAATGGATCACATCCTCAGCTGCTGCAAGAAAATCATGCAGATAGACTACAAGCAGAGGCACAATGCCGTTGCTACAAATACCATCTGCCTGCAACAAAGAAATGGTGGGATCACAAGCTGGGAAAAGTTACGGAAAATGAACACGTCAAACCCTTCTGGGGCTTCTGAATTTATACTGACAGTTTCGGAGCACAAGACTCCTGACCTCACAATTGTGGGGAAAAAACAAGTATGGATCATCTATGTTTCAATCCCAGGCAACAGCAGGATTGATGAGAAGCTGACACAATATGAGCATGTAAAGACCAAACTGCAAAGACTCTGGAACAAGCCAGTCAAGGGGGGTCCCAGTGGTGCAGGGCCTCAAGACCTTGGCCTGCACTTGAAAACACTCAGTGCTGACAAAATCACCACCTGTCACCTGCAAAAGGCTACCTTACTGGGATCTGCATACATTATTTGCCAATACATCACAAAGTCTTAGACACTTGGGAATGGTTCGATGTGTGATCCAATACAACAGCCAGCAGAGTGACCTTGTTTGCTGGGGACTGATCTTGTTGTGTATCAAATAATAATAATAGACAGACACATCCCTGTTCTTAATGAGCTTGCTTTCCTCTATAGACGTAATTTTGAGATGCGATTCCCAGGCGTCAGGAGGGACATAATAATATAATTTTGTTTATTCGTTCAGTGGCTTCCGCCTCTTAAAGGATACCATCCATCCACCTTGCCCTTATTAGTCGGTCCCTTTTCCTTTTTCCTTCCCATTTCCCCAGCATCATTCTTTTCTCCAAGCTTTCCTGCCTTCTCATGATGTGGCCAAAGTGCTTCATCTTTGCCTCTAATCTTCTTCCATGTAGAGGGCAGTTGGGCTTTCTTTCTTGGAGGATGGACTGGTTGGATCTCCTTGCGGTCCAAGGAACATGCCTTGGTCACCTCTAGATTGGACTACTGTAATGCGCTCTATGTGGGGCTGCCCTTGAAAACGGCTCGGAAATTTCAGTTAGTCCAACGGGCGGCGGCCAGGATGTTAACTGGTGCCGCTTACAGAGAGAGGTCAACCCTTCTGTTCAAGGAGCTCCATTGGCTACCGTTCATTTTCCGGTCCCAATTCAAGGTGCAGGTGCTTACCTACAAAGCCCTAAACGGTTTGGGACCTACCTACCTGCGTGACCGCATCTCTGTTTATGAACCCACGCGTTCTCGTCATTCATCCGGAGAGGCCCTGCTCGCGATCCCACGTGCGTCACAGGCGCGTCTGGTGGGGATGAGGGACAGGGCCTTTTCTGTGGTGGCCCCCCGACTTTGGAATACCCTCCTCAAGGATATCAGACAAGCCCCTACACTGGCAGTCTTTAGGAAGAGTTTGAAGACCTGGTATGCCTTTCCAGAATAGGAAACTCCAGCAATATGTCCCAGAAGCACTTTACCAGAGATTTAAGATTGTCTGCACATTGCACTTACCCCAAAATCCTATATTCCACCTGTCATACTCAGCACTTTTTAACCTGTACCCATTACATTCGGCCGGCCCTAGTGTTATTGTGTCATGGTGTATTGTTTTTATTGTTTACTGTTATTGCTTGTTGTTTGACTTGCTTTATAATTCTATATGTGTTGTTATGTTGTTGTTTTTATTGAGGCCTTGGCCTTTGTAAGCCGCATCGAGTCCTTCGGGAGATGTTAGCGGGGTACAAATAAAGTTAATAATGAATAACTCCCAGCTTTTTACTCCAGCACCACAGTTCAAAAGCATTTATATTCCTTCGCTCAGCCTTCGGTCCAGCTCTCGCATCCATATGTGGACCTTTGTTGCCAGTATGATGGCTCTACTCTTCACTATTTTATCGAGATTGGTCCTTGCTCTCTTCCCAAGAAGGAAATATCTTCTGATTTCCTGGCTGCAGTCATCTTCGCACCTAGAAATACAAAGTCTGTCTCTGCCTCCACGTTTTCTTCCTCTGTTTGCCAGTTCTCAATCTGGTTGCCATCATCTTGGTTTTTTTGATGTTTAACTGCAACCCAGCTTTTGCCCTTTCTTCTTTCACCTTGGTTAGAAGGCTCCTCAACTCCCCTTCGCTTTCGGCCATCAGTGATATAATCTGCATATCTAAGGTGGTTAATGTTCTTTCCAGCCATTTTAACTCCAGCCTTGGATTCATCAAGCCCTGCACATTGCATGATGTGTTCTGAATGCAAGTTGAATAGGGAAGGTGAGAGTAGACAGCCCTGCCATACTCCTTTCCCAATATTGAACCAATCTGTTGTTCCCTGGTCTGTTCTTACTGTTGCTACTTGGTCGTTACACAGATTCCTCAACAGACAGGCTAGGTGACACTTGATCTCCCCATACATACCACCAAGGACTTGCCACAATTTATTATGATCCACACAGTCCAAGGTTTTAGAAGAGTCGATAAAACAGAAATAGATCTGGATATTGGCCATCTGGTCCCTCTGGCTTTCCTAAACTAGGAGCATAGTGTCTAGATCTAGGGAAGTCATGCTACCCCTCTATTCTGCCTTGGTCAGACCACACCTGGAATATTGTGTCCAATTCTGGGCACCACAATTGAAGAGAGATATTGACAAGCTGGAATGTGTCCAGAGGAGGGCGACTAACAAATGGTCTGGAGAACAAGCCCTATGAGGAGCGGCTTAAGGAGCTGGGCATGTTTAGCCTGAAGAAGAGAAGGCTGGGAGGAGATATGATAGCCATGTATAAATATGTGAGAGGAAGCCACAGGGAGGAGGGAGCAAGCTTGTTTTCTGCTTCCCTGGAGACTAGGACGCAATGGAACAATGGCTTCAAACTACAAGAAAGGAGAGTCCATCTGAACATGAGGAAGAACTTCCTGACTGTGAGAGCCGTTCAGCAGTGGAACTCTCTGCCCCGGAGTGTGGTGGAGGCTCCTTCTTTGGAAGCTTTTAAACAGAGGCTGGATGGCCATCTGTCAGGGGTGATTTGAATGTATTCCTGCTTCTTGGCAGGGGGTTGGACTGGATGGCCCATGAGGTCTCTTCCAACTCTTTGATTCTATGATTCTATGAAACCCAGTTTGTCCATCTGGCAACTCTCGCTCCATGTCTTGCTGGAACTCTACCTTGCAGGATCTTGAGCACTACCTTGTTGGCATGTGAAATAAGGGCCACTATACGAAAATTTGAGCTTTCTTTAGTGTTCCCCTTTTTTGGTATGGGGATATAAGTTAATTTTTCCAATCTGAAGGCCATTCTTGTGCTTTCCATCTTTGCTGGCCTATGGAATTTATCATCTTGACAGCATCCTCTTTCAAGATTGTAAATATTTCAGCTGGGATCCCATCATCACCTGCTACCTTGTTATGAGCAATGCTTCTTAAGACCCATTCAAACTCACTCCTCTAGATTGGATTACTGTAATGCGCTCTACGTGGGGCTGCCCTTGAAAACGGCTCGGAAATTCCAACTGGTCCAACGGGCAGCGGCCAGGATGTTAACTGGCACTCCTTACAGAGAGAGGTCAACCCTCCTGTTTAAGGAGCTCCATTGGCTGCCGTTTACCTTCCGATCCCAATTCAAGGTGCAGGTGCTTACCTACAAAGCCCTAAGCGGTTTGGGACCTGCCTACCTGCATGACCGCATCTCCATTTATGAACCCATGCGCTCCCTTTGTTCATCTGGAGAGGCCCTGCTCGCGATCCCGCCTGCGTTGCAGGCGCGTTTGGTGGGGACGAGGGACAGGGCCTTCTCTGTGGTTGCCCCCCGAATTTGGAACACCCTCCCCAAAGACATTAGACTAGCACCCACGTTGGCAGTCTTTAGGAAGAGCTTGAAGACTTGGCTATTCCGATGTGCCTTTCCGGAATAGGAAAACCCCAGCACTATGTCCCAGAAGCACTTTACTAGAGTTTAAGACTCTCTGCACATTGCACTTGCCCAGAACTCCAATATACCACCTGTCACACCCAGCACTTTTTAATCTGTACCCATCACTGGCCCGGCCCTGGTTTTACTGCGTAATGGCTGTAATGTTTTGTTATTGCTTTATGTTTTTAATTTGCTTTGAATTGTATTGTTGTTGTTATGTTGCTGTTGTGTTGAGGCCTTGGCCTTTGTAAGCCGCGTCGAGTCCTCCAGGAGATGCTAGCGGGGTACAAATAAAGTTTAATAATAATAATAATAATAATAATAATAATAATAATGATGATGTCTGGTTCTAATTCACTCACTACACCATCAAAGCTATCTTTGATATTATTTTCCTATACAGATCTTCTGTGTAGTCTTGCCATGTTCTCTTGATCTCTTCAACTTCTGTTAGGTCCTTGCCATCTTTGTTTTTGCCTGAAATTTACTTCCGATGTTTCTAATTTTCTGGAAGAGGTCTCTTGTCCTTCCTCTTCTATTGTCTTATTCCACTTCCATGCATTGCTTGTTTTAAAATAGATCCTTCTCTCTTCTGGTTAACCTCTGGAATTGTGCATTTAATTGGGCATATCTCCACCTATCACTGTTTCAATGTATTGTCAAAGGTTTTCATGGCCGAAATCACTGGAAGGAAGAAACCATGAAAATGAACAAAATCTGGTTACTGGTATTTTAAAACTCTAAAATCAGGACAGTAAATAAAAAACAACACTCAAAAACAGGGGAACTCCAGACAAGAAACAATCAGAGATAGGTAATCACCTGTCAACAAAGGATTTCCCCAGGCAGTAAGCAGCGACACCTTGAAGCTGCAAGATCTTCTTTGTTTTCTTTTTCTTTGGGACATACTTTGTTGCTGCCTCCTGAACAGTGTTGTGGACTGCTTTCCATAGTTCTTCTGGGACTGTTATCTATTAAATCTAGTCCCTTAAATCTCTTCTTCACCTCCACTGCATATTCACTAGGAATATTAGTGAGATCGTATCTAACTGGTCTTTGTGTCTTCCCTAATCTCTTTAGTCTGATTCTAAATAATAATAATGATGGGTTGTTGTAGGTTTTTCCGGGCTATATGGCCATGTTCTAGAGGCATTCTCTCCTGACGTTTCGCCTGCATCTATGGCAAGCATCCTCAGAGGTTGTGAGGTCTGTTGGAACTAGGAAAATGGGTTTATATATCTGTGGAATGACCAGGGTGAGACAAAGGACTTTTGTTTGCTGGGGCTAGCTGTGAATGTTTCAGCTGATCACCTTGATTTGCATTCAATGGCTTGGAAGCGCCTGGGGGGAATCTTTTGTTGAGAGTGATTTCATGTGCCTGTTTGTTTCCCCTCTGTTGTTTTGCTGCTGTAATTTTTGAGTTTTTTAATACTGGTAGCCAGATTTTGTTCATTTTCATGGTTTCTTCCTTTCTGTTGAAATTGTCCACATGCTTGTGGATTTCAATGGCTTCTCTGTGTAGTCTGACATGGTGGTTGTGAGAGTGGTCCAGCACTTTTGTGTTCTCAAATAAAACAAACAGGCACATGAAATCACTCTCAACAAAAGATTCCCCCCAGTCGCTTCCAAGCCATTGAATGCAAATCAAGGTGATCAGCTGAAACATTCACAGCTAGCCCCAGCAAACAAAAGTCCTTTGTCTCACCCTGGTCATTCCACAGATATATAAACCCATTTTTCCTAGTTCCAACAGACCTCATTACCTCTGAGGATGCTTGCCATAGATGCAGGCGAAACGACAGGAGAGAATGCCTCTAGCCCATCTGAGGATGCTTGCCATAGATGCAGCCGAAACGTCAGGAGAAAAATTGCCTCCAGAACATGGCCATATAGCCCGGAAAAACCTACAACAACCCATGGATTCCGGCCATGAAAGCCTTCGACAATACAATAATAATGATGATAATTATTATTGTGAAAATAAATTTTCAGAGAACAAATTGAGAACCTTGGAAATAACAACAGAAATAATCACTGAAAGAGTGAAGAAAGTCAAGAACTGGACATCACCTGGCAATGATCAACTGCATGGATTTTGGCTTAAGTATCTGATTAGCCTGCACTCAAAAATGGCCGAACAAATAAATGAGATGCTGCAAACTGGAAACATCAGCAAATGGATAACAACTGGGAAGACATATTTGATACAGAAAGATCCAGAAAAAGGGATAATACCAGGAAGCTACAGGCCAATAACATGTCTGCCTACAATGTTCAAACTACTGACAGGCATAATAGCTGATCAAATCCAGGATTACTTGGAGGAAAATAACATCTTGCCAGTAGAACAAAAAGGCAATAAAAGAAGAAGTAGAGGCACGAAAGATCAGCTTCTGATTGACACAATGATACTGGAGAATTGCAAAAGCTGAAAAACAAACCTCTATACAACTTGGATTGATTACAAAAAAGCATTTGACTCACTGCCACATTGTTGGATCATCAAATGTCTAGATGTCATCGGGGTTTGTGAAAATATTAGAAAGTTCACTGAAAATGCAACAATGGAAAACTGTGTTGTTTGTGGGCAACGAAAGCTATGGAACTGTTAACATCAAGGAGGAATTTTCCAAGGCGACTCACTGTCACTACTGCTGTTCATCATTGCAATGATGTCAGTGATTCTACAGAAAACAAACCTAGGCTACCAAACAGCAAGAAATTCTCCCAAAATTTCCCACTTATTGTACATGGATGATCTAAAGCTTTACGGAAAATCAGAAACTGAAATCCAGTCACTGACCAACACAGTCAGAATCTTCAGCACTGACATCAGTATGGAGTTCGGCCTAGACAAATGTGCCACAGTGGCATTAAAGAAAGGGAAAATTACTCACAGCGAGGGCATAGAGATGCCAAATGGACAAACTATAAAATGCAATCAGCCTGAAGCCTATAAATATCTGGGCATACTACAGCTGGACAATATCAAGCATGGGCATGTGAAAAATGTGGTCAGCAAAGAATATGTCCAAAGAGTCAGAAAGGTTTTGAAGAGCAAATTAAATGGCGGAAATACGATCAAGGCTATCAACACCTGAGCCATCCCCATCACTAGATACACTGCTGGAATTGTGAACTGGACACAGGCAAAGCTGGATGAACTGGACAGAAAAACAAGAAAACTGATGACAATCCACTACTCATTACACCCGCGTAGTGATGTCAACAGACTTTACCTGCCCAGAAAATCAGGAGTCAGAGGGCTTCTGCAAGTGAAACAAATGGTAGAAGAAGAGAAACATGCACTGGCAGATTATGTGAAAGGCAATCAAGAACCAACATTGAGGAAGTCAATAGTAGTAAACTGCTTCAAGTGCAAAAGACAAAGAGGAAATACCGTAATGCAGAGCAGAAGAGAAAACTGGCAAAAGAAGGCTCTTCATGGACAGTTCCTGGGAAAAACTGAGAGCCAAATTGACAAAGAAGAAACATGGATGTGGTTCACAAATAGAACTTTGAAAAACAGACAAAGGGCCTGATTCTGGCAGCCCAAGAACAAGCCATTAGAACCAATGCCATCAAAGCCAGAATTGAAAATTCGATGACAGATCTCAAATGTAGACTCTGCAAGGAAGCAGATGAAACAATAGATCACATCCTGAGCTGCTGCAAGAAGATCTCGCAGACAGACTACAAGCAGAGGCATAACACTGTTGCTCAGATGATTCATTGGAACTTGTGCCACAAATATCATCTGCCTGCCACAAGCTTGTAGGATCACAAGCTGGAAAGTTACAGAGAATGAACATGTCAAGCTACTCTGGGACTTCCGGATTCAGACAGACAGTGTTTTGGAGCATAACACTCCCGACGTCACGATCGTGTTAAAAAACAAAGTATGGATTGTTGATGTTGCAATCCCAGGTGACAGCCAAATTGAGGAGAAACAACTGGAGAAGCTGACACGATATGAGGATTTGAGGATCGAACTGCAAAGACTCTGGCACAAGCCAGTCAAGGTGGTCCCAGTGGTGATTGGCACATTGGGTGCAGTGCCTGAAGACCTTGGCCTGCACTTAAACACAATCAGTGCTGACAAAATTACCATCTGCCAGCTGCAAAAGGCCACCTTACTGGTATCTGAACGGATTATTTGCCAATACATCACACAGTCCTGGACACTTGGGAAGTGTCCGACATGTGATCCAATACAATCCATAGCCAGCGGAGTGTCTGCTGTGGACTCATCTTGTTGTGTTTCAAATAATAATAATGATAATAATGGATGGGCTTGATGCTGTGGGCCTGTTTTCCTCCCAGGTGCTACTTTGAGATGCGATTTCCAGGCACCAGGAGGGACGTAGAAAACATAATACAATAGTAAATATAATAATGATGATGTTGATGCTATTGAATGGAGATAGCCCTTTCCTCAAGTGGCTTGCTTCCCTCCCCTCTTTCCTGTCCTTGCAGGACCCCTACATGTGTGTGCAGGCGGCCCCCATGGAGGAGGACAATGGGGCGACTTCTCCCCCGGCCACTGAGAGCAAGCAGACTCTCATTCGGGGCGAAGAAGGTGAGGAGGAGACCCTCTGCGCTTGTGCCTTGGACCCTGGCTGCTTCCACCGGCTCAGGGAGACTGACGTCTAGGACCCCCCACCTTGTGCCCCAATCGGATCGGAGCATTTTGGGGAGAGGCACAAATGGGGAAGCCTCCTTAAGCAAGTAGCCATTGCCATAGTCTACCTAGGATGCTGCAAACCTGTGATGTCTTCCCAATGGGGTGCTAAGGGGCTGAGTGAGCATATTAGGCTTGGGACTACCAAGCTCATCATCACCCCTTAAGGGCGTTGGGGGCACAGAGCTGTCAAGGCCCATCTCATGCACCATCAACCCTCATGACGTGCATCTAATGCACAACCTAATTCTGGCCAAGTCCTTTTGCCTTAGAAAAGGTGAGCATTAGATTCAAGTCCATAGGTTATTTGGAGAGGGATGGCAGGAATAGGATCCAACCTCTCCCCCCTTTCTGATGCAGAGGGAGATGAGATTTGTAATCCAGGCTTCCAAAGCAAGCCTTTTCCCCACTAGGTTTCCCTATTTGTTTATATTTATAGTTCATCTTATTATATTATACAAGGGTGGGTCAAAATGTTTTGCCTCCTGTGCCACAAATATATGTGTGTGTATGTATGTGTATAGGTGTACTAGCTTGGGTCCTTGGCCTTGCCCGGGTTATTTTAAAAATTCATTTTAATTGGACAAATGCATAAGGTTGTGGGTGAACTACAACTCACCTCATGCCTAGTTAACCCTGAGAAACTCAATCAATACTCAAAGTTTGTGATGTTGGGCAAGTTTGCTCCAGATGCATCATTGGTGGGATTCAGTGAGCTCTCTGAATGCAGGGTAAACTACAACTCCCACTACAAACCTCTCCAGTAGTCATGGGGGTTCTGTGTGCCAAGTTCCATCTTTGGTGGAATTCAGGGTGCCGTTCTTAGATTGCAGGTGAACTATACATCCCAGTCCCTACAACTCCTATAAATCATGGTGAAATCTTTCCAAACCTCTCTAGTATGTTCCATTGCTGATCAATTCCTCTGTTTGCTGTGTGCCATAGAAAAGAATAGGAAAGGGTTAAGGGAGAGGCAGTGGGCGGGCTCATGCTAATTCCACATCAATGGAGAGAGTAAGAAACACTGGGATGCCTGTGGTGGAGGAAACACACGAAATCTAGGATGGAATGGTCCCCATGTGAAAGCCTATGGTGTTTGTGGAGGACACAAGCAGGGCTTTTAGACATGTTCATGGTGCTTGCTATAACTTGCAATGCCATTGGAGGGAGGGCCATTGGTGTCTTCTGAGTGTTTCGAGATATAGCTATTTGTGGAGGCCAGAGCCTGTGTAAGTGCCCCTTTCCCCCCATACACACACACACACATATATATATTCACTTTTATTATGTATATAAAGTCTTGGATTTGGAAGGCCTGCCCACAAACTTCCTTTTTTTGGGACTGAGAACAGGGTATGCCGTTGTTGTTTTTTAAATATATATATAAATAAATATTAATAAAATAAGACAACTTTGTCTCGGGAAATTCCATCCGGTCCGATGTAGACATTACGCATTGCAAGTATTTGGTTTTATGGGTAGAAAAACATGCTCATTTGCACTAAACGCACCACCAGCAGGCTTTTGGGTCGAGAGCGGGCCGAGTCCGTCACACAGGTGGGGAGGCAGTGATGCCGTGACTTGACTCGGCCGCTGAGAAGGAAGTCCTTTCTGATTTCCAGGAATAATCAATCACGGGGCAAACGGTCCTCTTCTTGTGGAGCCAGCCTTGAGCAAACAGGCACCGAGTGTCAACATCAAGGCGGAAAGAGATTCTGATCCGGCGTCAGGAAAAAACCCCGTCATCGAAGATTAGGACAAACACTCCTGCGTTTTTGTGCCTGCCTTTTCCTTGTGGGTTTCTGGGCGGAGAGGCTGGCAGCAGGCTGGGAGCGTCCCATTCATCTATAGAAAAGCCAAAGTATGCATGTCTGTATGTATCACCAAGGTGGAGAGGCCCTCTGGGATGCCACTGGGAAAGGAAGTTACCCTATGCAGGAGGGGAAGGGAGGAAGGAGGTAGGTCTTCTCATAGTCGGAGATGGTCGGAGATGGGAGAAAGTGGGACTTCCTTCTTGGAGGCAAATAAGGGGGAAAACATTCTCCCTCCTTCGCAGAGCCGGAGGAGGGAGATTGTAGACATTTACAGTGCTGGAGAATGGGGAAAGCAGGACTTCAGAGCTGGAAGAAAGCAGGACTCCTTCTCAGAGCCACAGAAGGGTGAAATTTAGGTCTTCTTCTCAGAGCTGTAGAAGGGGAAATGCAGGTCTTTATTTCAAGAGCCAGAGAAGAGAGGAAGCAGGACTTCTTCTCAGAGCTGGAGAGGGGAGAAAGTGTTGGAAACAGCAACCTTCTACAAGCCTCCTATGTTGGAGCATGGAGAAATCTCTTGGTGTGTTAACTGAAAATGCAAAGCACGAAAATGATTCATTGGACCACATCCTGAAGCTAGCTGAGCCTGGGAGTTTTGGCCATTTACATGTTTTAAGTTTTTTGTGCAGGAGCTTGCCAAGACAGTGTTAGTATTTTTGCTTCTGGGCTGCTGGAAGATCTCTCATGGAAGATCTCTCACCTAAGGAACATCTGAATCTCTCTCAAAGGACACTGTGTGAGCCAATGCAACTGTTCACATGACTGTATACATGTTGCTCTGCATAACAAAAACACCTTGTTCTTTACTGATCATCTGCATGGCATATCTTTTCTCTAGCAAGACTAGTAAGGACGTGAACTACATGTGACTTTCATTCCACCACATCCTCCACTAGTTATGTATATAATTCTGATTGCTTACTGTATTGTATATGTGTGTATTGGTATGAAGTTTTCCTTAACTCCATGTTGTGGGAGGGGCTGCAGACCATGTGATCAGCTCTGAGATCAGCTCAACAAAAGATTGCTCCAAGCACCGCCAGGCCATCAAATGCTAATCAAGGTGGTCAGTTGAAACATTCACACCTAGCTCCAGCAGACAAGAGTCCTTTGCCCCATCCTGGTCATTCAACAGATATATAAACCCTTTTTCCTAGTTCCAACAGACCTCACTACCTCTGAGGATGCTTGCCATAGATGCAGGCGAAACGTCAGGAGAGAATGCCTCTAGAACATGGCCATATAGCCCGAAAAAACCTAAAACCCAGCTCTGAGATTGTTCAGGACTCCACTTTTGAAACAATGCCTTCAGATGCTAGAAGCAGAATGGTTTAGAGAAGGGACTCTATTCGACTCTCAGATGGGAGAGATGCTTTATATTTTGAACTGTAACAATTCTAAGAAAGATGCCCTGTGTTATCTCCACAGAGAAACTACTTCAAAACCTATATTTAACTGGATTGATAAGCAATGTACCTCTATGCTGAATACATGATGTGTTTGAGTAAACCAACTATGTTACTTTTGACAAAGACTTATTTTTGTCTCCTGAGAGTATGATTAAAAACCAAGAGGTTTTAAGGGAGAGATTTTTTTGGCAACAGAAAGAACATTACTGAAACTGTGCTCTCTCTCTCTCTCTGTATATATATGTATGTATGTATATGATTTTTGTGCATTGGCTTTGTCTCTAACAGTTCAAAGAGACGTCTAGGTATATCAGTCTAACAACTGAGAAACTGTATGGCCTTGCATGAATGCTAGTGGGTATATTTACCACTAAGGAGAAGGTTGACTCAAGCAAGTTTTTAACCCTTCTCTGGGAGATTCCAGATTTTCCCAAATGGTAATGAATGCCATTTCCCCAAAATGTTATGACTTCTAACAAGGCCATGCCTTTGCAAAGAGCATAATTTCTCCAAAAGATTATGGAGATTTCCATTTTCCAAAAGGGAGGAAGCAGGACTTCTTCACAGAGCTGGAGAAGGTGGGCCTTCTCAGAGCTGGGAATGGGGGAAACAAGACTTCTTATCTGAGCCGGAGAAGGGAACATGCAATATTCCCAGGGGAAAGCGGACCTCCTATCAGAGTTGCAGAAGGCCTTCTTCTCAAAGCTGGAGAAGAGGGGGAAGCAGGCCTCCTTACAGCCAGAAACGGGGAAATAGAGTATATAAATATAGTAAATAAATAAATAAAAGTAGACCTCCTTCTCAGAGCCGGAGAAAGGGGAAAGTAGTCCTTCACAGAGTTGGAGAAGGGGGAAAGCAGGAAATCTTAACTGATCCGGAGAAGGGAGAAAGCGGGCTCACGAGTCAGGGAAGGAAGCAGGACTTCTTCTCAGTTCCGGAGAAGGTGGAAAGCAAGGCTTCTTACCTGAGCTGGAGAAGGGAGGAAGCCCACCCCGCCCCCTTCCCACCAAGTGCATTCAAGGGCAGCGGAGACGTCTGGGTAGCAGCAGCATCATACTTTATTGAAGAAAAAAAAATAAGTAAATCCCCAGGCTTAAAAACAAAGTCCGAGACGGAAAAGAAAAAGTCCAAAGATGTGGTCCCTGAAAAATAAATTATCTCGGTAGGTAGGTAGGTATAAAATGAAACCAATAACTTAAAAACACACTCAATATATATACAAAAATTATATGTCTTAAGCATATGGGACTGTACATTTTGAGAGAAGGGGAGGAGTGCGAGGGAGGCTTTCTTCCTTCTGTGGCACAGGCAGATGGGGGAAGGGGGCTTGACGAAAAGGGAAACTGGCCCAACGCCCCCATCTTGAATGGTTTCACGGGAAAAGGGAACTTGGTGTGTATTTTGTACCTTCATCTCAAAAAACGGAATGATGATTCTCACGGAGAGTCAATGTCCAGCCGACAGAAAAACAAAGTGACTGGAACCAAAACAAGCCAAGCAAACGAACAGAAAAATGCCCAATATGATAAACCCATGGTATGGCCTCAATATATGTGTGTGTGTGTATAGACATTCACCCAGAGTTTGAGTGTTGCTGTGACTGATCGGTGAGTTATTATAACGCTATACAGATAAGCAGGGAGGAGGGGATATGGCAGAGCTGGCTCTAAAAAAGGAGCTCGTTTTGCAGATTGACATCCTATACAAAGTTTGGTCCAGGTCCTTAGAAACAATAGTAATAATAACAATAACAACAACAATAATAATAATAAACACAGAGGAAGAACAGGGCAGGAAATGTTTGCAATGGAATGAAAAGGGAGGAAGAATCTGTATTATCCAAGTTCTGCCCTACAAAACTGGATCGAGCAGCAAAATCTTCAGAGCAAAATCCATTCCTGGAAATGGTTGTAATATAAGATCCTTTTCCCCATCTTGGGTAACGCTGCGTGTATATATCTATATTATATATAGATGTAAATATATATTGGCACATGATGGGTGGATGAACAGGGAGCCTCCAAATGGCAGTCAAACGCTCTGGGAATACATACCAACCTTTGTCTGAGCATCGCTTTTCCTGCAACAGTGAAAGGAGGGATGTGCAAAGGATGAGGAATGAAGAACGAAGGAAACAGTCTCTCCGTAAACCGACAAAAAAGTTGGGCGTCCCTCTTCGACAGAAAAGGGAAAAATTGGCATTTATAGTTTTGCAAGGGCTGTCGGCTGCTGGGCAGAACGGATTTCCCGATTTTATAAAATATTCCTTAGGGAGAGAGACAAGGATGCATTGCAAGAATCTCCAAAAGAAAGGTGTTTCCCTGCAAATAATATGCTTGTGTTCACTCTCAAGGCATTGCTTACATTGGACACTGAAGCCGGGCCCGTCTCTGGGCCATAAACAGCCCGTCTGCATTCCTTGTTCATCTGTAATTCCATGGAATGGTAGATCCATCACAAACGGGAAAGGGGGTGAGGCAGAAACACAAGGCTCCTTCCCTGTGTTTTCAGGATGCATTCTTGCAGCATTTTCTTCCAGAGTCCTGGCTCTTTAATCACTCATATCAAAGATTCTTCTGTGTAGACGAAGGCTTTCCCAGCTGGAATATGCAGCGAGTATTTCAGGCTATACAGCCAGTGTGTTCCAGCAGCATTCCCTCCTGATGTTTTGCCTGCGTCTGTGGCTCAAGGCATCTTCAGAGGTCTGTTGTAAGTGAAGCAAGTTCTCTCCCCCACCTTGGAATAATGTCCAGGATGGGAGGAAGAACCCTTGTCTGTTTGAAGCAAGTGTGGATGTTGCAATGAGCAAGCTTGAATAGCACTGAGTAGCCATGAAGTTTGCAAAGTCAATCAGTGAGGGTTGAAATAGCAAGCAGCTTATTGAAGATAGTAAAAGACAAAGCAATAAAAGTAATCCACAGTAAAAAGGCAATACATCCAAAGAGAAACAGTCCAAGAAAGTCTATTAACCAAAGGTTTGATTTCATAGGCATGGAGGTAGCCTGGCCTTTGTTGCCTGGAGGCATCCTGTTAGTGTGGGGTTCACTGGCCCTTGGTAGCTTGCCATCTGGACACCTCCCAAACAGAGGGTGCCTCCAGGAAACAGAGGCCAGGCTACCTCTATGCAGATACTCTCACAGATTGACTTTACAGCTTCATGGCTACTGAATGCGAATTCAAGCTTGCTAATCGCAACATTCACACTTGCTTCAAACAGAGAACGGTTCTTTCTCCCACCCTGGACATCATTCCACAGGGATATATACACTCCACTTGCTTCAATACCTCTATGAAGAGACCCTCGTCAATTGGCTTTCCAGCTGCAAGGCTACTCCAATGCTATTCAAACTTAATATTTGCAACACCCACAATTGCTGTAAACAGACAAGGGGGTGTGGAATGATGTCCATGGTTTGAAGTAAGCGTGGATGTTGCAGTGAGCAAGCTTGAATAGCATTGCAAAGTCAATCAGTGAGGGCATCTGCATAGATGTAGCCCAACAATTTCAACAGAAAGGAGGAAACCATGAAAATGAACAAAATCTGGTCACCAGTATTAAACACCAGATTCAAGACGGTAAATAAGAAACAAAGGGGACTCAGGGGGACTCCAGACAGCAAGCAATCAAGTGCCAGTGAACACCTCCCAAATAGAGGGTGCCTCCAGGCAACAGAAGCCAGGCTACCTCTATGCAGACACCCTCACTGGTTGACTTTGCAGCTTAAAGGCTACTCAATGCTAATCAAGCTTGCTAATGGCAACATCCACACTTGCTTCAGACAGACAAGGGTTCTTCCTCCAACCTTGGACATTATTCCACAGATATATATACACCCCACTTGCTTCACTGCCAACAGAACCTCTGAAGATGGCAGTAGCCACAGATGCAGGTGAAAGGTCAGGGGAGAATGTTGCTGGAATAGGGCCAGACAGCCTGAAGAACTCACTGCAAGACAGTGATGATTCTTCGTGTCAAGCAGCACTAGTGGGAGCGAAGGCTCAAGACGAGGTTGCCTCCGCTGTTTGGCGAGTGATTTGCTCTAAAAGGCCGACTCAAAAGAGATCCTAAAGTTGAGATCAAGGCCCTAAAAACGGACGCATCTCCTTGTTCTATAGGAAAGTCTGCGCTTTGTCAACGAAGGCCTCTCGTTTCACAGAAAAGTGGTAAAGACAAAGCAGGTGGAGCTACAGAAGAGTGAGATACTCAAAGGACTTTGTTACGTTTGTCCAGGTCACTTCTAAGAAACCTCTGGCTCTTACCAGGTCTCTGCAGGAAGCCATTCAAGTCAAAGGCCGGACCCTGGAATAGCTCAAGGCACAAATGAAGCAGGATTTGGGGGAAAGTAATGCAAAGTCAATGGGAGAAGGAGGGAACAAAGGCAGGGTTGAGGGAGGGATTACATTGTAGTGTAATGTTTTTCATGTTAACCGCTTTTGAGTCTCCTTATGGAGAAAACGCATAATAATAGATATATAGCTGCTTCAAGTCTCCTTATGGAGAGAAAAAGTGGGATATAAATAAACACAATAGTAGTAGTAGTAGTAGTAGTAGTAGTAGTAGTAGTAGTAATAGTAATAAAGGCCTGGCTCAGAAGCCAAAGCAAAGTGGCTCCTTCCTACGGAGGAATGAATGGGAGAAGCCTGGCATGTTCTCTCAGCTCAAGTCTGGCAAGTCCATACTCATTCAAAGAGGAAATGTTCTGGGAATGGATGCTTTGAGAAAAGGCAACGGAATAATAATAAGAGGTTGCAGAGAGGACAAGCAAAAAGCCAGGAAGAAAAGCAAGCTAAAGAAGAGCCTGCAAGATGGGCTTGGGATCCAGAGAGCAGCAGTGGTGCCATTCAATGGTGCATCTATCTTCCTTGCCCAGAAGAGTTCAGTTTGCTTTTTAGGAAAGGTTTCTTCTCTCCTAAATGGTTGGATGCAAGAGAAGGAAGCCTTCCTTTTCTGTGGCGGCCCCCAAGGCTTCCTCTTTGCGCTCAGAAGCCCTGCCTCTTCCTGTCTGGAACGCCAGGCCTTTTGTGTTGTGTGCATGCGTTGGGAAAGAGAGGTGGGTTGGGAGAGAGAAAATTAAAATAACAAACAAAACAAAACAAAACTCGAGCAAAACCAAAATCAAATTTAATCGGGTCTTCAAATGCAAAAGTAAAAACAAACAAACAAACCAAAAAACACCAAAAAATAAAAGCAAAAGAACAAATTAACAGGAAACAAGAACTTTTTTTAAAAAAAAGTTTCAAGGCAGCCTGACGATAATAACCTGTTTGCTTTTGTTAAGGGGAGGGCTGAATTCAATTCAAACAAAATCATCAACGTTGGCTTTCTTCCAGTCTCCGAACTCGTTCAATATGTAACGCTACTCTATTATTATCAGATTCGGTATTATTAAAATAAGAGAAGAAAAAAAAAAAAGAACAACAATGTTAGGAGGGATGCCAAAAAAAAAAAAAAACCCAAGGAGAGTGAACGATGCTCAAATGCTCAGAATGGATTCTGATAAAAAAGAAAGTGGCGCAACAAAGCGAAGGTCAATCGATCTGGCCAAAAATCGACGTGCTGCAAAAAAGGGCAAATTGTGGGTTCCGAGTTTCGCTTTTTGTTTTAAAATAAAGGCTCCGGAACCTTCCCAGAGCTCCTTGGAAGCACTTTGGTCCTTTGACATGGTAAATATAAACTAAAAACCATTGCAGGATTATGGGATTTTGACCTATAAAGTCAACGGAACGCCGTGCGGCACAACTGTCTTCACTAGAAGGAAGCCTCCCGACCAATGCAAACGAAGGGCAAATGTTTGGCCCCCAATTTTGCAAGGAAAGATATCCACCATTGCAACTTTGGGGAAGTGTTGTTGTTGTCTCGGGAGGAAATTTTCAAAGGAATAATTATAATAATAGTAATAAAATAATAGAATAGAATAAAACATAAAAATAAAAAATAAAATAATCATAATTGAATAGAACACTTCGAAAACATTTGAACATGTTGGCATCCCAGAATGCAAACCCCCCCCCCCACCACCACCATTTTTAGATCTAAAGACAAACAACTTGGCGCAAAAAAAAAAAAGGTAGAAAAAAGGAAGGGAGGAAGGAAGACTGATAGTAAACTAATAAAAAGGTATTTGTTTTTTATCTTCCTCCAAACTTTTTTCTGTCACTCTCGATATCTATATTCCATACAAAACAAAACAAAAATTAATATTAATCATTATCATCGTCATCCAAAATAAAAATAAAAATGAAATGGAGGAAGCCAGTTATTTGTGGGACTTGTTGGTTTTGAAGGAAACCTGTAAGATTTTGTCCCCCAGCTGGTAGCCATTAAGACTGGCAATGGCCATGGCGGCCTCTTCATAGTTTGTCATGGTCACAAAGCCAAAACCTTTGCACTTGTTGGTGTTGAAGTCGCGGATGACTTTGACATTAGTCACCGCCCCAAAGGGCCCAAACATCTGCCAGAGGATTCCCTCATCGGCATCTTGGCCCAGGTTGTAGATGAAGATACACCAGCCCGAGGAGGAGTTCCCCGGGACATTTACACCGGAGAGCCCACTCATGTGATCTACACCCATGGGGGAGAACCTAGCAAATAAAAAGCACACAAGAGTGGTTCAGGGACACGGCAAAAACAACAAAACAACAAACAAACAAACAAAACAAAAAAGAGAGGCAGTTCAATCAACCCGCCCACCGCACCAGCCCCCTCCCAATGGTGTTCTAGGGTTCCAGGTCAAGGGGGAGGAGCGCTCTTTGCCCCCCATGTAGGGTACATGGCCAGCCATGGCTTCTGGCGGGAGGGATCAGATTGTGCTTTTCCTACTAGACACAAACAGGGTTGGACTGAAGGGGCCTTGGGGTCCCTTTTCACTATAGGATTCTATGAGAAGGGATACTCGTCAAGTAAAGTGCCTGGCCATCTATTAGGAACGATCAGATTGTACCTTTCCTGCTTGACACTAATACGTTCCAACTGCAGGACCCATGAGGTCCCTTCTAAGTATAGGATTCTATGAAAGGGGAGACTTATCAAGTAAAGCATCTGGATGGCCATCTGTTGGGAGGCATCGTATTGTGCCTTCTGGCTTTACACAAACAAGGTCGGACTGGACGGCCCTGAGATCCCTTTTCACTACAGGATTATATGAAAGGGGAGACTTGTCAAAGCGTCTGGATGGCCATTTGTCAGGAGAAATCAAATTGTGCCTTTCCTGCTTGACTCTAATATGGTAAGACTGGAGGACCCCTGGGGTTTCTTCTAACTATAAGATTTTATGAAAGGGGAAACTTCTTAAGTAAAGTATGAAGAACCATCTGTTGGGGGGGAATTGATTGTGCTTTTCCTGCTTGACATCTTTCAATTCTATCTATGGTCAGGTGGCCATCTGTCAGGAGGGATTAGATTGTGCTTTTCCTACTTGACATGAATACACCTATTTACACCTATTTATTTATTTACTTATTATGCTTTTATATATGCTTTTTTATCTCTCAGGCAGATATACACAACCATAACTATGGTTGGATGGCCACCTGTAGAGAGAGATCAGATTGTGTGTCTCCTGCTCAACATGAACAGGGTTGGACCAAAGGACCCTTGGGGTCTCATCCAAATCTAAGATTTTATGGTATTCCTATCACACACACATACAGAGCAATCTTATATATCTTATCTATAGCGGGATGGCTATCTGTGGGGAGGGCTTGGATGGTGTCCTCCTGTCTGGCTGAAAGGGGTTGGACTGGAAGGCCCATGGGGTCTTATCCATCTCTAAGATTCTATGGTAGACCTATCATTCACACACACACACACACACACACACACACACACACACACTGTATGTATTATACATACATACACACACACACACAAGAGCCATCTATCCATGTCTCAGAGTAGCTGCTTTGAGTCTCCTTGTGTGTGTGTGTATCAACCATATGAAATGGGGCTACAAAGTGGAAACCACAACATGCGAGTGTGGAGAAGAGCAAACTACAGACCACCTGTTGCAATGCAACCTGAGCCCTGCCACATGCACAATGGAGGACCTTCTTGCGGCAACACCAGAAGTGCTCCAAGTGGCCAGATACTGGTCAAAGGACATTTAATCAACTACCAAGCTTGCAAACTCTGTGTCTTTTGTATGTTTGTTTGTTCTGTCAAAAATGTAATACAACTGTTTGGTTGCCTGACACGATAAATAAATAACCATATGTATCCATCTTTAGCTCTGAATCCTATGTATGGCTGGGTGGCCATCTGTTAGAGGGCTTGGATTGTGCTTTTCCTGCCTGGCAGAAAGGAGTTGGGCTGGATGACCCTTAGGGTCTTGTCAAAATCTAAGACCAATCACACACACACACATATATAGCTATATAATATGTATGCATCTTTAGCTCTAAATTCTATATATGGCAGGGTGGCCATCTATTGGGTGGGATTAGAAGGGAGACACTGCAGAGCACCTTCACTGGACTGTGAGGCAGGGAAAGGAACTGCTTCCTGCTGAGGTTGGTGGGCTTCCTGCTTGTGGAAGAGTGGGAACAGACCCTGGAAAGGCCCAGGTCCCTCCCACATCCCATATGAACCCAAGGTCGGCTTCCGGGATGGGAAACAAGAGAGAAAGTTGGGATACCACAGGCTTCCCCCTGGATACCTGGGACGATGAGAAAACACACTGGGAATGGGCAGGCCAAGGGCAGGCCTGAGTATCGTCTGGCATGGAAGAGGCGGAGGACAGGCAGATAGAGAAGAACGTGTATTTATTTCACACAAGTGACAAGAATTCCCAAGGCAAGATAATGGGAGAAACAAAGAGCCCTTTCCCAGCCCCATGCTCACTTTGGAGAGAATGGAAATTATCATCATCATCATCGTCATCATCATCATTATCAAAACATGCAAGAGGCCCCCCCCCCCCCCTCCAAAACTAGAAGGAGGTTACAACAAGCGTGTGGAAATGAGAGAAGACTTGGAAATAAAAAAGGAACTAGAATAATAATAATAAAAAGATACATAAGCAAGTGAGATAAGAAATCCCAAACCCAGGTGAGTAAGGAAGGGAGTAGTGCTATGTTTCCCTGGGCGAACTATGGTGGGTCTGTCCGAGAAGGACGAGGCTTTAAATTAAGGGAGGAAGAGGCCCATTAATTCAAGGTTGCAAAAAAAAAGAGTCCTTAAATCAATAAGAAAAGATGGCTCAGTCCATCCCAGCTCCTCCCATTGAAAAGATTAACAATCCCAATCTAATTACATTCCCCATATTAGATATAGAAGGAAGACCTAGCTTTCTGAGTTAACTACACTTACCCCATTGTTTTAGGTCATTTGGCGAGGAGTGTTATAGGTCCCTTACTGTTGCGATTAATTACTGTGTTATTCTCCATTATATCTAAAAACAGACACGAATGGAGTCCCTGTTCAACTGAGGCCTATCTCCTCCACCTTTCATTTGTATTTGCATTGTTTTGGGTGAGAGAAGCCAAGAAGCAGCATTCAAAGTGATAGCAGAGAAGAACCTTTCTACAAAAAATAAACAAACAGACCCCTTTGGCAGGTTTGGGAAGAAAACAAGTCTTACAAGGTATATTACATTGGGCTGCTGTGAGTTTTCTGGGCTGACTGGCCCTGTTCCAGAAGCATTCTCCCCTGACGTTTCACCCATCCTCAGAGGTTGTGAGGTCTGTTGGAAATTAGGAAAGTGGCGTTTATATATATCCCTGTGGCATGGTGTCCAGGGTGGGAAGAAAGAACCCTTGTCTGTTGGAGGCAAGTGGGAATGTTGCGATTGACCAGCTTGATTAGCATTGCAAAGTACAATCAAAGTCCTGGCAGACCGTGCAAATAGAATCTGTGAAGCCCACCTAAACTGGGCTCTCCAGGTCTATGAAGGCTCCACCACAGGCATCAGAAGAGCTGCAAGGCCAAGAACAAGCCATAGGAGTCAAGACAAAGACCCACCCAGAGGAAAAGTGTTCTTACCAGACATTAAGGGAATCACTGACTGCAGAGGGAAGCTGAGGAAGAAGCACAACCTACAAACTATCTCCAGACCCACTAAGAACATTCAACAAATGCTCCATTCAATAAAGAACAAGAGGGATCCTCCCACCTCTGCAGGAGTCTACCATATGCACTCCACTTGCTTCACTACCTCTATGCAGAGACCTTCACTGAATCTGAAGACTTCATGGCTACTCAGTAAAGTTTATTGATTAGTTCACTGACCATATCAATAGTATAAGACAAAAACAAAAAAATACACAGACACTAATCACTGCTCTAAAACTCCTGTAATAGTGAACATACTCCCCTCGTACATAAAAACACAACTAAAACTTGATTAAATTAAGTTAAAGATAATTAAAAATATCATCATTAAAGTGCCAAGGTAAAACTTCATACCACAGAAGTTAAGTACAGTGGTCCACGCTCTTGTTACATCCCGATTAGATTACTGCAACGCACTCTACGTGGGGTTGCCTTTGAAGACTGTTCGGAAACTTCAATTAGTCCAGCAGGAGGCAGCCAGAGTACTCATCGGAGTGTCATACAGGGAGCATACCACCCCTCTGCTATGTCAGCTCCACTGACTGCCGATCCAATTCCGAGCACAATTCAAAGTGCTGGTTTTGACCTACAAAACCCTATACGGTTCCGGCCCAACATATCTGTCCGAACGGATCTCCCTCTACGTCCCACCTCGGAGTTTAAGATCTTCTGGGGAGGCCCTGCTCTCAGCCCCGCCTGTCACAAGTGAGATTGGAGGGGACGAGGAGCAGGGTCTTCTCGGTGGTGGCCCCTCACCTATGGAATTCACACCCCGGGGAAATTAGATCAGTGACATCCCTCCTTTCCTTTAGAAGGAAATTAAAAACATGGATTTGGGACCAGGCGTTTGGGCAATCTGGCAGATAAATAAAGGACTGCGATGATGGATAGGAATAGACAATGTGGAACGAACTATGGACTCTGAGTTGGCGAATGCTGTGCTTGAGATTGGCTATTGACTGTGATATATATTGTTGTTTTAATTGTTTAACCGTTTAACTGCTGTTTTTATACGTTTATTGTATTATTGTGTAGGCATCGAATTGTGCCATTTTGTAAGCCGCCCTGAGTCCCCCCTCGGGGGTTGAGAAGGGCGGGGTTGAAGTATACGAAATAAATAAATATGCAGAGACCTTCACTGAATCTGAAGACTTCATGGCTACTCGGTAAAGTTTATTGATTAGTTCACTGACCATATCAATAGTATCAATAGTAAAAGACAAAAACAAAAAAATACACAAACAGACACTAATCACTGCTCTAAAACTCCTGTAATAGTGAACATACTCCCCTCGTACATAAAAACACAATTAAAACCTGATTAAGTTAAGTTGAAGATAATTAAAAATATCATCATTAAAGTGCCAAGGTAAAACTTCATACCACAGAAGTTAAGGACAAAGGTTAAAACAAAGGTTAAAATAGACCAGCTATTACACAATCCCAATCCAGTTCAGATATCTGCGTCACCACTACAGTTTACCCCAATCACCTCCAAATACGCAGTTCTCAGTTGCATTGCTTTATGTAGAAA